TTACCTACTACTTGGGTCTATAGAAATTAGATCGGAGATGTTCTGTCGGGACAACAAATACTTTGATGTGTAAGAATTTACGGACAGAAGTGCGATTTCGTCCGAAGTGGCGAAGTTTTCTTAACGATTTGGCTACAGGGAACAATACATTCGTTTGGCACTCGCGGAGTCGAGAATATTTTGGTTTTCACGTTTAGTAAAGCCTTAGCTTATGTGGTTAGAGTCAACGGGATTGTCGACTTTTACTGTTGTTGTGAACATAATACTGATCCATGATTGTTTTCTATATAATTGGAATGTGAAATAAATGGCAACTTGATAGTTGTAATATTAGAACACAGTAATTGAGTAATATATTTAATACGTTATGAAAATAGTGACATAGGTACGTGTTTTTCTACAATATCAATCAACAGCTCGATGAATAATAAATACCACATTAGTCTATAAAATATCAATTATACCACAATAGTTAGTGGTAAAAGTCACGTTCTCATCACGTTATCATGTGACGCCAGTGATATCACTAATGTGATGTCATTCCGGAAGACAAAGAATCAAGACTCTTAATTTGTAATTTTACTACCTTATCTCACCCTACAACCTAATTATTAACACCCAGAGTATGAGAATTTATGATAGACAGCGTACCTACTATTTTACCGATAAATTAGATTTAGGTTACAATGTTCGCAAATATGAGAGAGTTGGTTTAAACTAATTGATACCGCAAATATTTGATTTCTGGTATATTCGAACCGCTACCACTGATATTTATCACTGCACTTGATTAATGGAAATGAAACAATTTATCTTACAGGGGCTCTCTAACCAACATTCCATGATGTCAATCTATAAAATATTGCTGAAGTAAAGGCTCTCAACTGAACCCCATTTTGTATGATAGGTTCTGAATCGTATAGAGTTATGCAATGTGTTTTAAATGTCTTAGATTAAAACTCCCGTGTTGACATAGATATCAATTTTGGAACATCTACTTTTTTATTTCAGTATAATAACCTACTTTAGACTGATATTATTAAAGAACAAATAAAATTATTTTTGATATTCCCGATGCTGAAAGAAAACCTTGAAATCTGTATGATAAGATGCACAGCGTATTATATATCTAGGCAAAATTTTTAAAGAAATACAATACCGTTGCTACGCAGGTATAATTGTATATTCGTCACGTAGATGCTATTTTTTTGTATCAACATGAATAATATATAGAACCCGTCTGATCCCTATTTAAGCACAGGAATACAGAAGTAGAACCGAGACCGTATTAGGTACTTTGTATTAAATCAAAGTATATTTATAAGTTTCAAAGTTATATATAAGTGGATTATGTAATCTAGAATGTACCTCATGTAATGTAAGTTCAAAAAAGTGCTTGACTGCTTCCTATTTTTAAGTGCCCTATTATTACATTACATAATCAACCCATTTGCTACAGCTACGGAATTCATTTACCATAAAATGGGACGTATGCTTGTTTACCGCCATCGTAGTATAAAAAAAGCATTCAATTATTCTTTTTGCAATAACCGATATATATATACCTACTGTTCTTCATAAACTATTACTGTAACCATGAAGTTGAAGTAGGTACATGTTGTAAATATAAAAAGTAACTATCACAATTTATTTATTCACAATGTGTTTATCATTAATTTTCACACAAGGAGTGCCTACCTTCATGAACCAGGCTAGTAGTTTGTTTAACCCAGGACACTTTACACAGCGTCATCTAGTCCCAAGATAAGCAGAGCTTGTATTACGGGTAATAGACTAATAGAAATACATTCATACATCTTTTTTTATAAATACATAGACAATATACACAGGAAACATATTGAAGACAGGACGGACCAACACAGACAATTATAGTTATGAATAACATCTGTACTGTGTGAGGAATCAAATCCGCAACCATCATAATTGAGGCGGTGTGCTAAACAGCTAGACTACCAAGCCCGTCAATATACTTACGGAAACTTATATTATAGCACAAACATAGATATTAACAATAACATTTAATTTCAACTTTGTTTTCATTACAAACAAAAATATAAAGTAAACATTATTCATAAATACAACAGTAATAAAAGTTAGACTGTTAAGTCAAAGTTGGCGTAACCCCGTTAATTGAGTTACGACCCCCCCCAGTAACGTATAATTTAATATTTACACAATGAAGAAATCCCTAAATATAAATACGGGTAGGTATGTATATGAAATGTTATTTACTTTATGCGAAACTTAGTACTTAGGTAAAATAGTGAAACTGAAAGTTCCTGACATAAGAATCATGAATTACCAAAAGATTATATTCAGATATAAAACTGATTTTTAGTAAAAAAAATATATGAAAGTAACAAAGGACTACACACTATGTAATGTATAATTAATGATTAAATGAAGTTAATCAAAAACAGCAAATTAACACCTAATTACACACAAAAACTGTACAAGTTGATAACAAATATTGATTATTTAGAAGTATGACGACAAAATACGTAACAGTCAAAATGGTGATGGTGCTACATGAAATATATGTATTTTATCATCTAATTTCAATCACAAAATATACACTGGTGTCAGTATAAACAAACCTCCTTTCAATGTCAAAAAAAGAAAAGAAAAACGTTTGTTGTTTTCTTATCTTTTGACGAGCATTTCTTTTTCAATTCTTTGAATGAAAAACACATTCATTATTCAACGGTACTTAAGTTTAAACGGTTTCTTAGGCAGTTTACCTTGTATTTCCTTTTATTGCTATTAGTGCGTCTCTTTTCTGTCCACCCCGTAAATGGGAGAGGAGAGAATTGCTAGCAATAGTATATTTTGTGACTACTGGCCCCATTGTTAGCAATTTGCCCTTTCATTTCGACGTTGTGGTTAATAACTGGTGAATTCGCCACGATGGGCTAATTGACCTGATTTCATCCTCATCCTTTCATCGTTCACTGATTTTCCGCTACCGTACACCATTAGCATAGGCGGGAGCATTTTATTATCACCCCTAAAATACAAAGGTCACGGCCCAGTGGTTATTAAACTGACTTGCAATAGCAAGATCGTGAGTTTAAATCTAGAAGTACCAACATTGTGTGTCAATTTGGAAGCTGAAGTAAATCGCACTGATGTATTTTACCTGTCGCAATAATGTATTTAAATGTTGAAATATTAAATTGTTAAACTTATAAAAATTATTATATGTCTTACAATAATAATATATAGGCACGTTCGTTTGCAATGAGAATTGAATTCCCAATAGTCTCAATTAACGTAACCAACTTTTCTAAATGAAAAATCAAAAAATCTAATTATTTTTACCAAGTGATTGGTACTATTGTATACTTTTTTAAATATTTGTAATTATTATAATTTATTTTTTATTAATAGTTTAGTTCTGAAATGTGTTAACACACTTCAGAACAAACGGTTGAATGGATAAATAATAGAGCAGTCATACAGAATTTCGTATTTATTTATAATTAGTATAATTACCATAACATAGAGAAACCTACATTACAGCAACGCAGGCAGAGTCTAACAATTCACATTAGATGATAAGTGTATTCAAACGAGTAATAGTTATAAATCAGATAAAAAAGATTCTTATTTTATTCTCTATTCATAATTAAAGAGTCTCCATCTTATGTCCTACTTACTTAAGTACTATTATATAAACGTGAATCGTTGTAATGAATTATATGTGTATAATTTATTATATTACTCCAAAACGGTGATGATATGCACGAGTTTGCAAAAATCATTTTGAAATTTATAATATTGGTAAGCTTATGTATGAAAAATACTTAAACAAAGTGTAAATTGAAATTAGTATTAGGGTATGTACACGAATCATGCGCAGCTATCTTCTGATTAGCATACATTATTATGCACGGCCACCAACAGTCCCACCGGCCAGATTGCATATATTTGCATATTTTTGTTTGAGAACACGTGACAGCGCCGTGGGCGGGCGATTGATATCTAGATGGAAACTTGAAATTAGGTGATCTTTATATTTGGAATTTATAATTTTACACCCTCAAATTCACGCAAGAAAAAATATGTTTGTGTTAATCAATTTTAACTTATTTTTTCTAGAAATAGATTCAAACCAAATACAATTTGAGACCTTATACATACCTAGAGACAGATATGAGAATAAACATTGTCTAGAGCAAAAATACTTATTAAACCTGTTGACTTTTATTAAAAATATATTCTCTCTTTCGCAATTAAACTAACATGAAAAATTACATTTACGTTATCATTATATATTTAATCAGATTCAAGTATCTTTCATAAACATTTAGTTTTGATAATGCACCGCCCAAATGAATCTCCGTTCCCTATGGTTGACTGGGAGATGGTGTCTCTATCTGTTAATACCGCCATGTGCACCTTTATAAGTGTATTTTTACATTGAGATTTTATTAAATAAATATATGAGTTTATCCAGCAATAATATAGATATTTTGGTCATTAACTCAAGTAAGTAGTAATGTTTCTTGATACAGAATAGCTGATAAATTGTACACTCCAGAAATTTTAACTTCTATTTATAAACTGGTAACTATTAAAACGCTAAATATAGTCAAGAAACCGAATTAATTTCAAAAACTGTGCTTTATACCTACAATTTTAAAATTCTAATGGAACGGGTATTCAATAATGTCTTAAATAAATTCGATATCATTCCGACTTTTCTGGAAAAGGAAATTGATTAAAGATGGATGAGTATTTACTATACAGAAATAAACTTCGTCGCTTACCTTTGAGTTCTGATCTCTGTGGTATTTATATTATCTTTGGAAGTGAAAGGTTAGTTCAGGTCGCTCAACTTCATTATATTCAGGCGAAGTATTAATCCGACTATATTATGTCATATGTGTGTCAAACTATAATGGAACTTATACGGAAATACACTTTATTAATAACAAAAAGACCTTTATATTGGCAAAGATATATCGTAATACACTGAAATATCGTCGTATTGATATACAAAACCTTTTGATAGTTGAAAATAGACAAAGGTTAAGGTAAGACCTTCACCATGCTTCTTGAAAGTATGTTCATTGTATTGAGGAAAATATATGAAAGTATAAGCAGTTATTACGTAAAGTAGTTTTAAGGTATACAACACATTCTTGGCATGTTTTGGTCGATATCTACTGGTAATTCAAATACCTAGTCTGCTAAGAAAAATTGTAGTCATAGAAAAAATATTTTAAAGCTTTTTTGGCGTCCTACGCAAACGGTATGCTCTAGCGGGCCACCTGTGGAAGACAATGTAATAAGAATAAAGTTAAATCAGTTAAGCGATCGTAGCGAATTCACTACGAATTTATTACGATGGTTTCCAGGTAGACCAAATGGTAGTAGACCTGATGGGATGCATTTCTGGCATATTATTATCTGGTATATTACCGGCAATAGTCCCCATCACTCTTATCTCTTTCTTTAAAGGTAAGGAGGAAAGTAACCCAAATAAGAGTCCGCGAGAAACATTAACGGACACCTACATTTCATAACAGCACAGAAATAACCGGGGGCTAATAAAAGGCAGGGCTGAATAAAGCGACAATGGCGCAACTAGGCGAGCTGGCACATCCGGGAAGGCGGTCGTGTCAAGGTCACGGCCTGTGGATCGATGCAGCCCATGCCCGTGCTATCCCCGCCGCGCCGCCCTGCCTCCGCGCCGCCCCGCTCGCAACGCCCCAATACATTTTCGTGTAAGTACATACATCTACAGGGACATAGGTATTTTTGATGTAAAGGAAGTGTCAAATGCATTATTTTTGCTAATAATTTTCTTGTATTAACATCTTAATTCTTACTGATTTTATAAATGCGAAAGTTTGTGAGACAGACATATGTATAGATGAATGGATAGATATTTGTTACTCTTTCACACAAAAACTACTGAACGGATTTTGATGAAACTTTACAGTAATGTAACCTATACATTAGAATAATACGTAGGGTACAAATTTCGCGGGGTTTACTGCGGGCATAGTATAACTAGTAACCTTGTACTGCGTGCATTGACAATGAATTGAAATATCATTGACTAAGTAAAACGGAAACTAAGTACATAAAATAGGGAGTTATTCTTATATTTCTGTAAATTAAGGTAAATAGTATTCACTATATTCCCAGAAAAAAACGCTATAATTTAGTTTTCAATATTCCTTTACGTTTTTAACCAAACTAATATCTATAATATTTTTATTCTAAATTTGATATCTGTACTACATCAATATGTCCCATATTTTCAAAATATTTCAAGATGGCGGGATATAGGCGACGTAGTGGTGTACAGCGCAGTTTTGTAATTTAATACCAAATTTTTCTTATTTTTAGGGAGGCAACGAGCTTACAATAGGAAGTGCTAATGGCAAGTGGTCTGCCGTCGCGGCGTCGCCAAGGACACTTGCAACACGAGGGTTACTAATGCATTGTAGCCTTTTAGAGATTTGACTTTGACACTGCCACGTGTTTATAAAGAAAGTTCATTACCAATTCATTATAAACTTTAATCCAGACGACATTAGGTACAATTATGTTAATATTATATTAAATTATTATACGTGTTAATATTAATATACTAGTATTCTTATTCATTCATATTGAAAACAAGATATACAAAGCTATATTAGGACGAGTTCTAATGCAAAAGTATGTTTCGTGATGGTTACATTACATTACATCTTTATTATAGATAGTCGTCATTTGAGAGATTTGTAACATCGTAATGTAACAATATTACTACAAATACTGTGATTGATAAATATTGTGCTGTCATTTCCGTATTGTATTTACAAAAGGAATTTAATAAATATTTAACCGTCATATTCTACCAAAAATAATGCTATTGTTACAAAACAAAAGCATGATTTTTAAGCAAATATCACTTCAATGTACCAAGTCCCTGGATAAACATTACAGCTGAATATTTTATAGAACTTACCTTTTTTTATGTAATTATCTGTGTCTACTCAGTTGTAACAACCTTTAACTTTTTATTTTCTGAATTTATTTATCTCTCTTTATTATATCTACCTACGAATATTTTGGTAATAGTGAATTAATTTAAATCGTATTTTTCTTTTTTATTTTATAACGATTGAACATGTTTTTTTGTGAAACACAATTTATATATTACCTATACGTTAATATGTAATTGCTTAGGTTTTAAAATAATTAACTAATTCTCTTTAATAATAAAACTACTATTATATATTTACTATACTGTGTACATATGTAAGTAAGATATTTTACTATCCAATATAAAATGTAAATGTGATATAAGTACGCACAATAGACGCATTCTTATTTTTCTTAGAGTTGTAAATTTTGTTCGATTAATCTCCTACTTTTTTTCAATTAACATTATGATTATTGATTATCAAGCTTTATTAATGTTTAATAATAATAATTTTATTGTATTTTGGCGTTTATTAGTGACGTTTCTTTAATTCCATTATTTATAAACATATATAATTTTCAACTACTGATATATAGACGTAAAAAAGGATTTGTAAGTAATATTTACAAATCCTTTTTTACATAAAGTTCTTTTGATTTTTTACCACCGACTATTTTTGAAATATCAAGTTATAATTATAGTTAAGTTATAATTATAAGTCTAACTACGAAACTTTAAAAATAGATATTGCGTTATCTCAACATAATTACAAACGAAAGTACTTGTAATTTATAAATGAAAAGATACGTAGTTTCATAGCTACATAGATATTAATTTAGAAAACCATCTAAGGTTACTTTTATCTGAATCCGAAGTTAATTGTATGTATTTTATTTACAACTGGGCCCAAGATAATAACGAAACTGAAATTGAATCTGCCACATCTCTTAGATAATATTCCATATAAATTGTAGCAGGCTTGATTAAAAAATGGCTTTGTTCCAAACTCGCGAAAAAGCCGCAAAAATGAATTATGACATTGAGTGTGTTACTGGACGTAATAGCGAGTCTGTGTATGTGTGTGTCATACCAGAGCTAAAACAATTTTATGGGCTTTACAAATTAATATAAATCCACATACGAAAACAGAGTTAATTACATTAATAAAAACTTGTCAGCTATAATATCAGGTCGAAATATCTACATTAATAATAGAAATACGAAATAATATCTGCCAGTCTGTCTATTTGTTCGTCACGTTTTCTCAACCAAATGTCTGAAGGGAAATTAATGATATTTCAAATAAAGACATTGTATCACAAGAGCAGACATATACTATCTTTTAATGAAATAAAAAAATGCGGACGAATTTTCGTGCTAAAGCTTGTATTGGGTATAAATGCGAAAGTGTAACTATCTGTTTGTTAGCTTTTCACAACTAAACGGCAGCAAGGTAATGTAAACATCCACGTAACGTTTAAAATGGATGGAATTACATTAACTAATACATGATATTTATCTCCAAAAGAGCAGACGAAGTCACAGGTAAGAGCGAATACAACAGAGTATTAATAAAGTCCTTTTTCTGATGTACGGGAAATGACGACGGATTTTAAATAATAAAGTATTCGGCTGTTAATTAAGCACTATGCTCATATTAAATTCAATTTTGCATTCTTATAAAATGCATAAAACAGTGGTGTAGGATCCTCCTCTTAATTATTGAATCGTTTTTTATACGTAAAAATTATAAGAATTTAATTGACGGCTATGTATAAAAGAATGTCAATAAGAGTGTTATGAAAATATGTCCGTTCATATGCTACAATCATACCTTCAATCATTTAGTTAACAAACAGACATACGGTAGCATTTATAATGTTGGTATGAACGCTTTATTGTAAACAATGTTGTGATCTCGGTCTCAGTATACTTTTATCTCAGGTTTATGATGCAAAAACTACTGACATTTCTGTTAATGTACCTAAACGAGCAAATTCCAACCCTCGATACGTTCAATTATATTTAGTATTAGAGGTTACCATTTATAGAATCAGCGTAACATATCGAATTCAAAGTCATAACCTTGAAAATTACCGCCGTACGTCCACCCCTCAGGCAGCGGTCACGGCCGCATTGCGACCCTTGCATTAAACAAGAAACGTCCGCTTACCTCAGGAGCCGGTGCCCGAATGGCCTTCCACAAGCGGTAACAGCTCAAGGGGGATGGTTGGGAGAATGTTTACCCTCCTACCTTCCCTCAACCGTGCCAGCTGAGCAGCGGCACGCTATATTTAGGTTGCGCTGTAAATATTCGCTTCAAGTACGGAAAGCCCCCTACCCGTACGTGGGGGGTGCGCTGGAAGGAGGTACGTTTCCCGCGCTACATAAACGGGTAAAAGTTGAAAGTTCACAACGCCCCGCGCACCGTTCGCGCAGTTAGGGAACGCTCTCTTTATTTAAATTCTATTGCAACTTGTTCGCCGTTGTAGCCTCAACTGAATTCGCAATGGCAACTCTAATTTTTCAATATAGCATACCAACTTTTTTTGCGAGAACTTGTGCAATTGTTTTCTGCCCCTTCAGAAGTTCAATTTCGAGTTGTTGGATTTCAACACTGTTTTTTCCAGAATACCCTTTATTGTTATTACACCAGCGGTCCAATTTGGCTAAAACAAGCTTTGAAATTTGTAATGGTACTGAGAATGTTCTGTTGAACTGGCTTCGACACAATTTTGAAATGGACACGAATGTGTCTTTAACGAAATTGAAGCGGATTACTTTTCATCATGATGGTCTGTTTGCGTGTACGTACTCAATATTTAATCAGGAGTCATCATCATTTGTAGGTTAGCTTTATATTAATAAGAACTTATAAAAGGAATGTTTTAAATATAATTGCGCTTCATTTGAAAACTAAACAATAACTTATACTATTTTTTATGAAAAACGATAAGTTTAGACATGTGGTGAATTATCAGTTATATTAATACGTGTATTATCTAGTCTAAAATATTTTTTATATCTATTCGAACCATAAAAACAATATTTCGTAAGACTCACAGAAAAATGCAGCAATGTATAAATATTATATAGTCACCTATCTTATACCTCATAGATATATTATATTGATATACTATGCTATTATGAATAATGAAATGCTTTTTTAAGCACATTAAGGAAAATAGTTTTAAACATTGAAATTCCCAAGAAGGCGCAAGAATTATCGAACGAGATGTAATTTACATATTATACTTTAATTTATTAACATACAAGCTACATATTTTTAGGTATTTCAATATAAGTAGCAAAACTGGATAAAGCAAATAAAATTTTAAGCATTTATTAAACTCTTTTAATATTTAATTTAACCAAAGAATCAAACGAATAGCTGACTCGTACCGACATTACTAGCTTGGTTCCGAAAGCAGATGTTGCTCAAATTGATTAATAAGTTCCAGTGTTTGCTTCACTTGATTAATATTTCATCTTCATCAAAGGTGTTGTAACCTTTATTAGAATCATCATTAAAGTTTTAAAGAACATTATACTTTCGGTGTTTATTAAAATAAACAAATAAAAGTGTATTCAGACTGTTTTAATATTTAAATTAATCAACAACAGTCAAGCCAATCACTGATTCGTAGCAATATTAACTTAGTTCCGACAGCAGATGTTGCCCAAATAGATTAAAAAGTTTCAACATTCGCTTCACTTGATTAATATATTTCATCTCCATCGAATAATGTGACCACTCTCTCATTATAATCGTCATCAAAGTTTTCAAAATTATCGTACTTTTCGTGTTTGGGATCGTGAAATGAAACAATGTTAAATACTGAAGCAGTCCCGCCGTATGCAATACAATTTTCGTGACTTGTTAAAGCGACGACAGTTCCCGCTGCTGGATACGAGCAAGCGCTATACCTGTTATGAAGGTTTATAACTTCAACTGTATTTGTACCACTTCCACCGATGATGGCATATTTACCTTTACGATTATACTGAAAAAAAAAACCAAATAGAATAAAAAATGAGGTTGTTAAATTGTGTTTCGGTTGTATGGTGAGGATTATGCTGTGAAATTACAGAATAATAGGCATGTCATCTTAGTTATCTGGAATATCAACGCATGAGTGGTATCACAGGTGTCATATGATAACGAGATATCCGTAATGTTGTTAACATTAACTCTCTTATATAGGTACATACCTATATAAAAGACGGTTACCGCTTACCGTCAGGTAGGGCCGTCAGCTTGTTAGCTATTACAATTGCATAAATAAATCTGAAATATAAGGTAAGTAAGACCATATTACCATAGTTCTTAAGGTTCACATTATTATTAATTTATATAAATAACGGATCTTACTTCTCATTAATGGAATGTGAAGTTTCTTGTCACTGCGTTTAGTATTGGAAATAGTACAGGGAACTATTATAATATAAGTTCTGCGGAATAGCAATGTACGAGTGGTATCACTGGTGTAGCATGATAACGTGATATCGTTATACTTTGCATGTATATAGCGACGGTTACCATAATGAGTTGAGCGAAACAGGCCAACAGTAACTGCTGTCTTATTAAACTTTTTTCGGTTTAAAAATAAAATAATTTTAATTTGTGACGGTACAAAAAATCTTGGTTCTTCAAATTTTAATTAGTACCCGAATTCCTATTCGCCATAATTTAATATTTGATATTATTTTAAATACCTCGAAAATTCGGTGAATGAACCGTACCTACCAAACAATTTATGTCAATTTAATTAAACCCGAACATTCCAACTTTCCAACCAAGATTTTCAACATGACCGCACCTTACATCCGAAATCCCAAAACTTCAGTAATATTAGTACTTTGTGCCCGAGAAGGGAATTAAAGGAAAACAGAGTGGTGAAATCTCACAGCTATCGCTGTTCATGGCAGCTACGCGATGATTCAATTGTGAGGTTTATTTTGAGGAAATTATGTTTTCATTTTATACATAGATGAGTTTTGTTGTGCCATAACGAGATTGAATTATACTTTGTTGTAGTAATCTACGTATTAAATATATTTAACTATTTTTGTTTACTAAATATGACATATCGACGAGTGGTATCTCGGATGGTGTAATCAGAGTTGTGTTTATAGCGGCACTTGAAACATTTCAACACATTTCGCTAGGTAGGTATATTAAAATCTAACGTAAGAGGCGAGGAGGCTTTAGGTAACAAAAAAATATTTCTGGTATGATATAGGAATATATCCGGCTTTCTTTTTCTATTAAATACTTACAAATATGTAGCATTGCGATCTTCGAAATCCTGTTGTGCTTGCCCTGTGTAGAATTCGCTACTAAGGCGAGGAATTGTAAAATATTTTTAGGAGAGATGTCTTTTATCTTTGCGTGTATTTAACAAAAGATAAGTTTATACATAAGTGAGCTGTACTGAATATAGTGCTCCCTTTGAAACTGACATCTGAATCTTTTGATTAAGCATAGCACCTAATCGTAAAATGTCCTATTGAATTTACAGTCCTTGTATTACATAATTAAATCCCCGGTGAAGAGGTAGAGATTTGGCAAGAACGAGATATTTATTACGAGATTTTGTATGCCATCTGTTACCTGCGGAGACCTCCAATATCTGCACGCGTAAATGTATTCTCCGTCGATGTCAGGGCGACGATTTTGTACCCTGATAATGTTGAGTCGCTTACGAGCAACCAAATCCCACACAACAAGTGCTTCTGTCGGTTGCCAACTACCGGTAATACAGTGATCTCTCTGTAACAAATAAATCTGCGTCTTTTCTATGTATATAAATATATAAAAAATATATTTAAGCCTTTGTATCTATATTTTTTAGTAACACAAGCTCTACTTAGTTTGAGACTAAATGGCGCTGTGGAAATTGTTCTGAATAATTAATACTCGTAAATACGTAATTTTTAAAAATTAACCTCGGTTTTAATTTAATTAATAAGAGCGGTTATATCTTCAAAAGAATCAAGTCATAGTTTTATCTGTAAACTGTACAGGTAAAACTTAGAGTACTTTCCGAACTATAAGTAATTGTAGGTGGAAAAATAATGCTGCTCAAACTCTGACAACAAACTATGAAAACCTCAAACTTCTTAATGAAGGAGACACGACTTAGCAGATGAAACACTGGCAAGTTGGTACCATCACAAAGGCTGAGTTTTTAATTAAAAGTGCCCCGTATTTAACTTCGAGCCACGTATGAAATGCAATAGAAGTAAGTACCTAGATATAATATTTTAGAGAGCTTTGTACACATGTGAAGGTAGGTAGGTATCGGTACATACCTACTATTTTCAAAATTAGAGGCTGTATTTTTCACTCTCTAAAATATTTTTCAAGACTCAATCAAAATGCACAAATGATACTTTCTTAAATTAACTCTTAAATAATTATAATAAGAATATTAAGTACATGGATAAACGATATATTTATCATACTAAGTCACCTGATAACTTAGACGTCCAAAATTGATAACTTAAAGATTCTAAACATTGATCAGAAAATATTACATAGTTATAACACAGTAGTATACTGTGTATAAAAAATGTAAAAATTTACGTTCAAATCGACAACTAAGAATACTGGAGAGCTTAATTAGGTACCGTTTTTTTAACAAATAAGACCTTAATAAAATACCATATTCGAAATATTATGTAAAACTATACGTCTCACCCTGAATGGAAATGGCACATTATAAAAATCAGTTACATTTTAACGTATTCCTTCGACACTTGTAAGGCGAGCTAGCCATACCCCACATTTCCACGTGAATTCAGGTAACAATTATTCTGTGTCAATTTAATTTATCTATTTATATACCAATTGATCTATGTGTGTGTGTGAATCGGACAGGTAATTTCGATCTTCCTATCGATCTTTCGATCTTCAAGACTTACATCGCTATAAAATTCTGAAAGTATATATATAATGTGTATATTTTGTAATATCGTCTATACATACTATAACACTCTTCAAAATAAGAGTAAAAATGTGCTTTTATTCTCTAAAAATGTTAAAAATCTACAGAGAAAATAATACTAAAAATGTATGTTCATCATTATCTAACAGACATCATATTTATTGTACGCACACTGAAATTTATTGCCATTTATCAAGAAAATAGACTACAAAAAACACCCTCTCGGTCGCTTGATGGAAGTGTAAGTGAAAACATACATTAAGAGTAATTCGTATCAAGATTAGCTACTTTACTTAATATTTTATAAGATGTGATTACTCACAAAGTATCTACCTTGCCTTATTCTCGTATTTCATTACTTAGTTTTTTTTCATATTTCTATCTTTTATTTATTATTTTATTAATTTAAGCATTATATTTTATTCATCCAATAAGTACCTACCATAAGTAGGTATACTTTTATTACTTGTTGTGTATATCCTACAGAATTATATTCCTGACATCCAACTTTTGAAAACCTGCTAATTGACCTTTTTAGTAGCTCTAATGTTATTTTCGTTACACAATTGTATGAAATAAAATATATTTTAAGATATTTATTTATAGCAATGCTATTATTAAACAATAATAATCGTAACGTAAACTCTGAACTGCTGTAGTAAACATGTTTCATAAAAACAAGCCACTCGAAAAACGATCACGTAGATACGTAAATCGGGCATCATACAGCGAAGACGGTTTAGGCGTAGAATGTGTAATAATTCTCAGAACGAATCAATTGAAATGGATATACGAAAAAGATACTAGTAGCCCGCCCAGTTGTAGTCTAGGCGTTTGTAACTTTGTGAATTTTGTATATAAATATTAACATTAGCTATTGTCTAAGAATAATGTACCCTTCTAACTGTAAAAGAATATTCAAAGTCAGTGTAGTGGTTTTGGACTATACTTGTCTCGGAACAAAATTAACTTTATAATGTTATGTATAATAAAAGAATTAATATGAAAATAATAGATTTATACTGAATCAACTCAAATCCTAAAATAAAAACTATGAATGCTTTTAGCTTACAACTAAAATAAATATGTCTTATCCATTAAGACATTTCCATTAGGTACCTAGTACACGGTCCAGACGTGACCGTCCAACTTTCTAAAAAGGTAACTCAACATCAGATATTAGATATTAAATTAATTTTAATATTTTCTAGACTTTTCCAGACTTGTCTACTAGATATTGCAGTCGTAAATAACGTTACGAAAATATTTCACCGCGATTATGGTGCTGACAAGAAAACAAATTACTGCGTAACAAAATTTCGTGAGTAATATCGTAAACATAATTTTACTATAAAAATAGATATTACTGTGTCGAATAATAATACTTTTGAAGTTATTATGTAAGTATCTAAAGATTATAAAGTAACACATTTTGTTAATATAAGTGTGAAGTGTATATATAAAACATTTTTACTAAATTTTTATGTTGCCAATAAGCAATATTTACTTTGAAGAGCTAAAAATATGATTTTCCTTTCCAACATCATCAACTTCGAAAATAGATTGATTGGATTGAAATAGAGGAAAATAGAGGTATGTATTTATCTATATCAAACAGAATATTAAGAGGAAATAACCTCATACTACCCGAAACAAATAACTTCTTATATTGGTTTATTACACTAACATATAAATTCTTTAGGTTTCGGACTAGCTCTACGGTGATGAAAAGGGCCAATATTAAATCAGATTAATCCAGTATAGGCCATTTATTTCAATATACTTACCGAAATGTAGGCATATCAAGTGTTGTATTCACCACTATCTAGTTGAAAATGCGTCTGACTACTCCGTCTATATCTTGCCTAGTATATTATACAAGGTAAGATATATATTTGTTTATATAAGTAAAATGTATGAGAGTACTAACATTCAAATCAATGGCATCACTGCATATATTGACACCTTCGAAAGTCATTATACACCCCACTTTACAGCGCGTATCCCAAATCTGAAATCAAAGAAGTAACTTTTTATACAATAGAATGAGAAACAAGATAAATCATCTTAAATTTTCTATAAACATGTTGATGTAACATCATTTTACATTCGTTCTTGTTACTATAGGTATTATATAATAATACGAGTACATCAAATAATATAATATTATTCATTATTTCATTTCGTTTCAATTAAAGTTTAACGCAATTATGAAGTTACTACTAATATTAAATCATAATTAATCTAATATGCGACAGATTAATTATGATTAAAGAATTTAATTAAAGATTCGCGTGTCAATTAATAATGGAACTAATATTATTTTTAAATATTCCTTCATTAATTTCCGAATTCAGTTATCATGTTTGTAATTATTTATTTATTATGGAATATTTATAGCTGTAAATGGTATTTTTAAAAGCCAATTTTGTACATAAAATACATTTGTTACAATCAATTGTACAACAATTTTACATAAAAATATGGAATATTAAAATATAATATTTTTTTACTTGGACTCAAACTAAAATTAAAATAATAAATACCAATAAGAACTAGTAGTAAAAGCAACGTAGATTATATATTATATATATTATAACGCCTTCAATATAGATATTATCCCTTTACCACTGGAAGACACGATCTCGCATCTAACAGTTAATAACTTTCTGTTAGAGGTTCAAAACTAAAATTTACAGTCTGTAATTAGACCTACTGAATGTTTGATTCGCTTGATGTTAAAATACTTTTACTACGACAGAAACATTATTATGCAGTAACAAAAATAACATCACAGGAAAATTACATACGACAGAATGACAATAACTATGTGAAAATTTAAATAGATTATGAACGTGAGCCTGCATAGGACAATTCTTTGTAGCGACATAAAAGGATCTTTTAATAAATAATTTGAGCAGTTTAACCACTAAGCGAAATATTTTAATCTCGACAGAGATGCTTTGTGTCTGTACACGGTCGTTGGCCGCGTTGTTTTATTCACAATGTGGTTGCAGGCATCGAGTTGAGTCGGATCACCGTTTCATATCACTAAGTATTGTAAAAAATACCTTAAATTATATTTAGGCGGATATTCGTGATATCATTCTTCACCACTGCCAATATATAATCCATGAAAATTGAAATAATAACCTAATCAAATTATGATACATAGTATTAACTAGATTCAAACTAAACTAAGCTTGGAATATGTATATTAAGTAAGTGACAAATATACTTAATTTTTTTTACAAATACATACAGAACATATCCAGAGTAATAGTACTGTTTACGATTATAAATGTAGATATTGTATAAGGATATCGCGACCGTACAAACGTGAAGTGGGGACTGCCTTCCGCTATTTCATCAAGTAGCTCCCTATATTACAACTTAATTAAAAAGTTTTACCTAATATAAATTCATTCCAAAAAAATATACACAAGTATTATAGATTATAAATATCAATGGATTATTATCTAACGATATCTATATTGTTTTTAGGGTGAAAATAGTATTCACCTGGAATAATCCATTATGGTTTCCTGGACCATACATTTCTGTCATTTTGTTTACAAAATGATAATTTTACGTTAGTTACGAATGTTGTGTAATTGTATACTAGTTGGTTGTTATAAGACAATTCCTATAATAGGTGCTAAAATACACCTAGTAGTTAGTTTATTTATTACCAGATCAAATATATATATATATATCTGGACCAGTACGTACCTACAATAAAAGGCATTTTTTTATGTAACTAGAATAGCAAATAATTTGACGGTCCAGCTAATGGTAACGAGTACCAATGCAAGCGCCTTTGTGCAAAGTCTACTTCTATAGGTTATCCTATAAATGTCTGAATAGGAAGTAGATATTATATATTTATTATAAAAAAAATGTAATCGTATTATGGTAAACAGAATAAAGAGATTTATAAGAGAATTGTATTGATAGATATCAAAGAGTTTTTAATGAGATTAAGAAATAATAATAATAATAAATGTAATAGAGCTAATTTATGGATATGACTAGCCAGCCAGCATCAATAAAATTTAATAAATATTTTTTTAATTCTGCATTCATTTACACCATAACTTTAACCATTTATATAACAATTAGTTTTAATAAAGTTGATATTCTTCATTACAAAATAAATAAAGTTCATTTTCCTAGAGCAAAATATTAAGACAAGCGATTAAAATAGTAAACAGAACAAAAAATATTTAAGCTGTATTTTTGCTTGCTCTAACAAAGTTAGATGCCTGAACAATACACATTGTTCTCTGTTAATAAGCGTGACGACCAATCTACGTCAGAACCGGCCTTTGAAGTGTTTTATAAAATCCTTATTTTTTTACATTCATTCAAACTTCATAGATAATGAAAGCGCTGGTTGAGGTCGGCACTTTTGAAACGGATATATTTGTTTATTTGTTATGTTACATATTGTATGTTACATCAATAGTTTGCCCTTAAAACCATCGATATCGAGATAAGTTCCTGGTGAATTTGCCACGATAGTTTAACTGACCTGACTTAATGTCAATATCAATCCATTCCATTAAAAAAATACCCCTTGAATGTATTTATATTATCTAAAAAGTAATACTTGGGCCTAAAGTAATTCAATTTAGCCAACTAACCCTCAGAGTTCTATCCCAACCTCCGGAAGCGAATAGGAACGGTTTCTCGTCGTGACATCGTAAAGCACACACTTGTCCAAAATGAGCACGTTGCAATTTCTTAGGAATAAATTGTAGTCGTAATTTATGTACTTTGTATGTCACTACAGCCTGGAATAAATAAAATAGGTTAGGGAAAGGGTATTGTTAGTATTGTGGAGTGGACTCATAACTCCAGTGCTAGCAATGTACAATCTCAGGTTGACCTCCATGGGTTCCTCCTGAAAACCATCGTGAGAAATCACCATGAAACCATTAGGCTAACAGACCTGAACTCATTTTATCATTCTCCACTGGTGTCCCGCCAGAAAAAACCATTGGCGCAGGCGGGTGTACCATTACAGTATACCATTCCACCATTCCAAAATAGATTATTTCAGTAGATAAAATTTTTTATTTACAATTTTAGACCATATAAATAAATAAATTCATAAAGTTATCGGTATATTTCTTTGATTTATCTATCAACAATGTTGAGACCTACCTACTTACCTATCAGAATACAATGCGTGGGTATCGCATTCTCACCTATTTCATCTGCCAAACAGCTTGCTTCGTAAGCTGGGTTTTGATTATTGGGTGAGATTAGGTAGTAAAGTTACAGGATAATCGAATATCAATTGGATCAAGTCTAGCTATGTAGTGTCACCACCCAACATAATTGAACACCTAATAAGAAAAGTTATTACCTATCGAAGAAATCTCATTTTTACGAACCAATCACTACTAGTTACAGATAAATATTGTACAGTAAACCCTTGTGATGAAAAAATAATCAACAAAAAACGCTTAGTATAATCCCTTAATTTTATAACTTATATTTTTAAAATACTTTTATATGTTGCTGCCGATGCAACATTTATTTAACAGAAGTACATGCAAGGTTCTTTACTCGTTCTTCTTGTAATGAGTCTGTTTTCCGAATGAGCGGTGGAATAAAAAAAAATACTATGTGATTATTCAAAAGCATATTATGTTTATCAAGTTATTTTATATTAAGTTTATTTGAATAAAGGTTATTTATATTTCTTGTATAATTAATTGTTTTGGTTGTAGGTGCGTGTATTATAAAATATAACAGAAATCTACGTGTTTTTATCACATAGATAGGTACCCATAAAGTCCACCGATTCATTAAAAGGCTTTCTGTAATGTTCACAAAAAACACACAGTGTATTCCGTAGTAAATTGGGTTAATTTATAACTAATATTTTTGGAATTAACAGAGTTTTGCTTACTCGTAGCCATATCATTACCAATTTTGTCACAATTAGTAGTCTGTTTGATTTCATTGTTTATAAAAATCTGTTTTGGAATTAAATATTTAATTATCGTTGTGGGTACATGCGACATGTCACATTAAATTGTAATAGTTATACTTATATTAGGTATCATAATAATATAACGACTACAAAAGAAGATTTTTCTTCTTAACAAGTCTTCGTGCAAGCTTGTCCCTTCTTTGAACGTCAAAATTGTAGCTTATTATTTTAGATAATCGCAATCCCTTGTGACTCTATCATCTACAATATCTCTATGTCAAATTTTGAGTCTGTTGGTCATTACTATATGAAATAGATCTCACTACATAATATGCAATATATAAATAATATCTAATATAAAAATTCAGGTCAACCCCATTATTTTTAAGTTTGTAGAAATAGACTCACAAAATAACAAGAAAATATGTTGAATATCAAGAACGTATGTTCATTAGATATTATTTGATACGCCAAAAGGAAACAGACATGAGCTTTCTCATATTGAAGGAATGGATTCAGAGGATTTTTATAGGTGTATACCCTGGACACTTCACACAGGGCTATCCAGTCCTAAAGTAAGCAGAGCTTGTGTCATGGGTATTAAACAACTGATAGAAGTAATCAATGCAGTTTTTTGTAGTTTTTTTGTATACATAATATACAGGCAAACACAGAAACCAATACAAACTACTATACAAATGAATATTTGCATTGTGCTAGGACTCCAACGCAATACCATCGGAAAGCAAAGCAGTGTGTAGCGGTTTAAAGCTTGTGCTAGAAAAGCTGAGGTCGTTGTAATAATAAAAGTATGTATAGTTTTATCTTATTATCATAAAAATAACAAAATGTAAGTGACAACGAATTAATTGCCAAGTCCTACTTTCCAGAGGGTCAAGGGCTTTCATGGACCTCATAAACCGATGCAGTGTTTAAATTTATTTTAGCAATAAACTGAGATTAGGCCGTAATCTTTTATTGTAGATTGCGTTTCATGCGAAGTTGTGGGGTATTACGTGGTTTGCTATGAACATTACATTATTTAGATTATCCTCTTGGAATAGGCTCTGTGGTATTGTTAACCTTCATTGTAATCAGGTTTTGTGATGGTAATTTGTACATTTTGCAGTACATTCTGATATGAATTGACTGTATAATTCTAAATTAGGTAAATGACCATTTTATTACAATGAATGGATTATGTTCCATATAATAATAATAACAGAGGGATAGGGTTATAAGTAATAGTTTATTTTAAGTACTAATTCAGCTCAAAAAGCAGAGTATGGACGTATGAGAAAGAGAATGTTGTAAATAGGTGTTTTATTTACGCAGATCCTTTACATATATGAAAAAAAATCTGCTATTTTACTTTCAAGGAAAATAGTTCACGTTAATCAAATATCTGCAGAACCATATGATGGTATTCTTATTTTATACTTATAATAAGTTATTTATCTTTCTAGATTTCAGTTTTATAAATATGTGAACTAACCAACTAGATATACAAATTCTTTGAATGTTATTGCTCTCTAAGACAATTCGCCTGTGAGGTAGATACTGATACTGAAATATCCAATGAGCATAAATTTTCTGAAATACGAGAAATCTTAAATCACTTTATAAACTCTGTTTATTACGTACCTAACACCTAATTTATCTTAGATACCTTCTACACATTCAATAAAGAACATTATATTACCCATCTATTCAATTTTGTTCATGTAGTCTACGAGTATGTACTAACATTGGAATATATAAGCACAGATAACATAATATAAGCAAGTATGCAAAGTTATACAATTCATTTGATAATTACTATATTCTATATGTAGGTACCTACCTCTTGGGTTTCCATGTCATAGATTTTTATTGAAGTATCAGCATATCCAGCCACCATCTTTGATTGGTCAGCAGACAATCCCAAAGAGAGTGTCGCGGACCTTTCTGAATACATAAGATACTATTTTTACTTTACAAATTATAAACAAAAAAAAAGTTCAATAGACTACTAGTTATACGCGATAGTATTTATATATTAGATTTTTCTTATGATTCGAATTGCAAACAAGGTGATAGTACAGAACACCTGGTAGACAGTGGTAACTATTATATGAGACCGAGAAAAAACCAACGCATTATTTATTATTTGATTATATGAGGACCTCGGTGGTCTAGCGGACCACTTTACGTCCGATGGTCGCGGGTTGGATTCCTCGCACGGCACAAACATTTGTATTCATGAGTATGATTGTTTGTCTGGGTATTTTCTATGTATTAATATAATATAATATGTATATATGTATTTACGAAAAAAAAATATCTATGTATTTGTATCAGTAATCTAGTACCCATAACACAAGCTTTAGCTAGCTTAACTTGGGTCTAGATGGCTCTGTGTGAATTGTCCTGAGATTATCATTATTATTATTCTTTATGTTTTTTTTTCTCAGCTTTTGCTGGTTTTTATTATTATTATTTATGACTAAAGCAATAGTCGTAAAAAAAGCATACCTAAACCATAATAAAACAGAGATGCACCTGACAATAGCCCAAACAAGCCAATAAAAAGGGAAAAAATAATACCTAAACCAAATTTCAAGGGTGCAAGTGCTTGATCAAGCCGCTTAACTGGTTACGGATCTCTTAACTGTAGGCGTCACAGTACGTATCTATGACGTCAACACTCCGTGAATATTACGTCATTACGAAAGTTGAAGAGGAAAGTTCAATTTACCGACCAATATTAGAAATCCACTACTTATAACTTTGTTCATCGTACATATAATTTTGCTTTATTCTAGTAAGAATACCGAACAAGACAATATTGTTAAAAACAAAATTGGAAACTATCATTTGAATGCCACACAGATAGTGTGCACCATTTTTTTATTAAATTGGGCATTGTTAAGAATAATTTACAAGAGCTAGACTGTAAAAACTCTTCTGGATGGGCCATCAGTTTAGTCTAACCTATTTCAGCCTATAAGCCTTGCTTTGTAAGCCGCTGTTACAGTTGTATGGTCAGATTATGCAGCCAGTGAAATAACAGGATAAGAGGCATCTTAACCCTCTGAAATAACAAAGCTTGAGCGGTACTGTAGGTGTTACATAATAACGTGAAGTCTGTAGTGCTATTCACTATATTTGTAACGGTTACAGTTTACTATTACTTGGGTCATTAGCTTGTTTGCCTTATCAATTACATAAAAAGCCTAATTGAATTTTACTAAACTTAAATATAGTTCGAAATTATAGATTTTTTATCTTTATTATGTTTATATAAGCTTTAATAAAACATTACAAGAAGTGTATGCAAAATATATTAAATTACTATTAAGTAGGCAAACGATAGTTTTTATTTATTTATAATTCCAGCAAAAGCGGAGATATTTTTTTACAATTTTGTAGCTGAGATTGTGGACATACTTTTACAAATCATGTTTCGTAACCTACATAACTAACTGTACCTACATCGATTATACATTCTTGCTTAATAGGCCAAAGAAAAATAATATCTACGTATTTACGTACGTGTGATGAAAGGCGTTGAGTATGATGATATTCCCGGTGTACCATAGAACTGCATGTTGAGGCATTCTAAACCTGGATCTGCTTGAATACAGTATTCCGGTGGCTTGTCGGTAGGTGCAGTTATCTAATATAAACAAATTACATTACACCTAGTGGTTCCTGCAACTTCGTATGCGAATACATCTGGCGGTAGTAATTTATGGTAGTCAAACGTCAACAATAAATAAAGCTTCTATACGACGCCAGCTATTAAAATTATAATTATTGATATATATGTAACTAATTCTGAATTAATGACATAATATATGTTCATACATTTGGAATCTCAATTCTATATATCGCTCCATCCATACAAGCTGCGTAGCACACCCTTTCTTCTAGACGACTGTACGATAAAGCATACACTGGTTTTGGTGGAAATTGTATATTTCGTAATGTACATAATACCGTCCCAGTAGTGCCGTGTCGCATCTAGAAAATATGAAAATATTTATTACATTTAATATTTAATTACTTTTACCAGACGTACCTACATTGTGTCGATTGAGGGTGTACGTCATTGACACCTATTCCAGCCGACAAGCAGCTTGCTTTTTGACCTGTATCATATGTCATAGTAAAATTATAGCTACTAAACTTGAATGTATGTAATATTGGCACATCTGCATTTACGGAAATCAGTACTTCTATATAGATCTCAATTCTTCTATATTGTCATAATTTGATTTAGTTAAAGTAACAAAAAACAGACGAATAAAGTAATAACCTGGGTAGGTAGGTACTAGTTAATATTCAAACTTAAGTCCATTCATAATATGGTTATAAAGTTTACGAGTGGGCGACTTCATAAATAAGTAAATAAAGCTCTATAATAAATACTGCACCTGCTTCTTTTCGAGCCCGATAAAAACAAATAGTTAGTCACTATCTTATAATCAAGATTGATAATAGGTACTTAGATTTTGATACGGTGAGAAATACGTAAATACAATCATATTTTCTCCATCATACATTCTTTCGCACGTACATGCAGACTCCGAAAGGACACAAACATTCTAAATACATACTACATACAAATTCATACAAGCATATCTATAGCCCGTAGTAGTGGGATTATTATAACATAATGGTTTCCAACAACCCCACAACCATGGGCTATAGTTATGGTTGTATGAATTTTGTATGTCTTTAGAACAAAATAATGGTGTTTGTATAAACGTTGTTACGTTAATCAATCAGAATATTTCTGTACATAAAACTATACACATCTACTACCTACTATTCGAACAAGTTTATACCTGGATTAATCCTGACAAATGGCCGACGATAATATGTGTGCCGTTTGGAGAATATGTTAACGAAGATATAGGGCCAGACTCTCTTGAATACCATCTATTATAAGCTATTTTATTACGTGTGCTTTTAAAAAAAATATTATAATTCTCTTCGACCCAAGACACATTGTCTGGTTTCCGAATTTTACCTCGATAAAACATGGGATACCAAATTTTATTATTTTTCTCATTGTCGTAATAAACCTGTATATTTTTTGCAAACTCCTCAAGAATAAGATTTTGATCATTCATAATGCGGCATGGCATACTAGATCAATTATGTAATATGTAGCTAAAGTCCAAATACATAAATTGTGATTTCTATAGCAATGTACTGAAAATTTAGAGTTAAGGAAGAATAATTCGTTTGGTATAAAATACAATGAGTATAAGATAGAAAATTAATTAGCACAAAAGATCATATTGCAGAAGCATACTCCTTCAAATCAAATCAATTATCAAATCATTCGTGTAAGTACCTAGGACTATTACAGGCTATTATGATATGTCAAATCTACCGTCAGTTATGAGTGCTAGGGCAAGCTAAAAAAAACTGACATGAAACACAGCTCTAATACTTTTGAAATGAGCTAACGAAATCTTCAAGACAACTGCATATCTGTCCCCAAAAGACTAATATACAGCTGCAATTTCTCTGGTAATGCAGGTAAGCAGCATGTTTATTGGCCTCATGTACTAAGCATAACAAAACATCCTCTAGACACTACCTGTATTAATCCCGTGGAGTGACCAACGATAATAAATGTTCCATCAGGGGAATAAATCATACAACAAATAAAGCCTAATTCAGATAAATAATCGAGTTTCAGTAAATCTTCATTTGCTGTGTCCTTGAAGAATCGCTCTTGATTATCTTGAAGCCATTCAATATCAGTAATGCTAAGACTTTTGTCGGCGAACGATACAAATTGTGTTTTCGCACTCTCCTCTTCACGAAGTAACTGTTTCTTTACGCGCTCTTTATATTCGTTGATAAACGTGTGTATATCTATCTGATTCATTTTATAACATATTAAATGGACAGTATGCAGTACAGCTAAATCTGCTATAAATTAAGTTATAAGAACTTTACAGAATTTTATCATATCCATTTGTTTTTTAATAGCATCTACAGATATAAATTGGCCAGTGTCATTTTTAGACGTTATAAATTGATTGAATTTGTATGTAGTGTTTTTGGAAAACCTGGTACATATATAGAAAGAGAAAAGCAAGTTACTATATATACCTATCATGAAATAAATAAGAAGAATGCAGATTAAAAACTTAGATTACTCGGTCCAATTGAATTTTGATCGAATTACGATTGGCGAGAGACACAAATTATTAATATTTAAGTTAAAATTAAAATAAAGATATGCACAGATAAATAAATAATTGTGAGAGTTATAAAGAAGTATTTTCTCTTGTTAAATTGTATGATACTATGAGTCATATATATAAGACAGATATGTACGAATACGTACGAACTACGAATACTTATGGATTCGGTTATCACTATTATAGTTAAGCTGCAATAAATAAGCTTTATTCAAACTACTTACTGGAGAAATAATAAAATGCGTGAAATGAAACAATGTTATCATTCTGATGTTGGTATTACAGAGTCAATCCGTGAAAGAAAGAAACACCTTACATTATTTTAATGTAAAGAACTGAGACAGAAATATTGGTGTTGTCGATTTTTCGGGGAATACGAATATTGCCGAATCGACCGCCATATTGTAATGTCAGATTTCTGTGACGCTATTTGTGTGTACTGTCGATTTATCTTACTGAAATTTGTAGTAAACGGTGATAAATAAGTGCCCGTGATCTATACAATCGAGGCAAGTATCAAGTATTCAATATAGTTGCAAATAAATGCTTATTTGGTCTATAGATTCACCATAATTATCAAATGCTAGAATCCATTCGGGGTGTGGTATTTAGTTCACGGAATACTTTTTGTTTATTTTGTTTTATTGTAAGGATAATAGACACGTTGATTGCATAAAACATACTGCTTTGTGACTGTTTACATGATTATTTATTAATCATATAATTATATTTGTGTTATATCTATTTACGGACACAGTTTCGTTTTACGGCTTACCATTTAATTGTTTTTACTCGTCTAGGTGCAGGGGTGCATTGGTGCATCCACACTACCATGAGTTATCAGTTGCCATCATCACAGAACCGCAACAGTAAGTATTCAATGATGTACACGCTCTCGTATATTATTGGTATCGATATGGTCCAGGAATATACTTAATTTAAGCTCCTAGCAAGTGTTGTGTATTGTGAGTCATGCTACAAATATTGAGCACTAGTAAAGATAGTTACCATACATCTGGCCTTTAACATAGTAATTATTATTATTAATGTAATCAGAAATTCATGACCAGGTCTTGAATACAAAATTAATTTGTTAGATATGAAAAATTGTTATAAAATGAAAGTTGAACTTAAATTTAAATGATATCAGAGGTGTCATGATATTCTTCAATCTTGGTCTAAAATATATATATCAAATATATTGAAATAATAATAAGCAGACTAACACTGACAAGAGAATAACAATCTCTGTAAGAATTGTTATTAGTCTGTATATTAATAGTCTGTTTTTTAATCCCGGAGGCTAAATTGACAGATGTAATAATTAATTGTCAGATGTAATTGACAGACTAGGTTGTGTACCTGCAATACCAATTTGTTTAATGGTAAACTTTTACTTTAACATAATAGTTAAAAGTGTTAAATGATGTTTCCTCAACAGAATTTTAAAATTTATGCACATGTACCAGTGTTTCCATTACTATCGTCATATTATACAGCATAAATATACATTTTTGTTGTTTCCATACAAATACTTACAAATTTTTACAGTATTAAACTACAAACCAACATTTTTTTATTTCTTGCAAACAGCTAAATGTTGAAAAAATAGGTGTTTGTATTATGATATATGATACTATAAAAGGATGAATTCTTTTATATAAAGGCAGTTAATCTTTATTTTGGTGTAAAATCTTATGTATAAAATTCTTGTGTCACACTGTTAGTTATCATACTCCTCTAAAACGGTTTGACTGATTTTTATGAAATTTTATATGCACATTCAGTAAGTCTGAAAATCGGCTACTATCTATTTTTCATACCCCTAAGTGATAAGGGTTGTCCACCCTAACATTATTTTTATATTTTTTGGGCAAAATTTTTTATTTATATTTATGTGTCAATAAAAAATACATACAACCCAAAGTTTTTACCCTACTATCACCAACTCCTATTTTTTTTATAGTGTTATTCATTTATATGGCAAAACAATGTTTGTTGGGACAGCTACTAAATCAATGTATTTTGATACAATAACCATATATTTATTAATGCCTATACTCTATTCATTTTGTGTTAATGCATATGAAATAAACATCCACACATTATTTCCGAATAATCTATAAAAATGGGTAATTAATATTAATTTCTGATAGTGCCACAACCCTATTTAAAAAATACAAAAACCTATGGAAATGTCAAATTTGTCTCTGGGGTTAAAAAACAGACTATAAACATATAGTAATAGTTTTTTTTTTTTTTAATACTATTTAACTATAATAAATAGAAACCATCCTGTCCAATATAAACTATTACATCATATATATGAATGCAAATGTTGTTATTGTGCAAGGAATCTAATATATAACCATTGTAGACAGTGAAGCAATTAAAAATCAATAGGTGTTTGAAAATGCTACCCCACAGAGCCTGTGAAATATCCATAACAAATATACATGTCTCCTTTTTCCTGAATTTATTTCACTTATCTTTTCTTATTATATTTATGTTTTATCTTTTAATTTCATCTTTATAATAGATAAAACTTTATATATATTCAAAGCAATTATTTAAATATTTATACATCATAGACTAATATATCTAATCTATTTATTACTTAATAAAAATATAAAATTACAGAAAATTCATCATATTAGATAAAGAGTATGATCTTAGTCACTAGAAAATATTAAATAGTACACAATGTATGTATTATAGATTAAATATGATACAATATCAAATTAACATATTGACACATTATAATACATATCATATAACATACACAATTAAGACTGTTTCTTAAAATATAATAAACTTATTTAATTTCTAGCAGCTATTTAGTAACATAAAGATCCATACCATATGGATCTTTATGTTACTAAATGTAAAAAAAGTACAATATGTAGCACCCCATGGGGTATATTAATATTCAAAATAAAGTAGTAAATTTTAATTATTTTTCATTAACATTCACATTGTTAACTATTGCAACAAAAAATATTCTATAAAATATTAAAACTATATTCTTAATTATAAATTTTGTATTAATTTTTTTTCAGTGTCTCACAGCAATTACGGTGGATCTGATGTGCCTATGGCTCCAAGCAAAGAACAACAGACACTCATGTGGCAGCAGAACTCCTACTTGGTTGATTCTGGCATTAACTCAGGAGCCGCTACTCAGGTATGTGTTATTGTTTATTTTTTTTCCTAGTTGTTTTATTTAAATAATTTAATTTATATTTACATATAGTTGTATATGACATATGAATATTAGAATATGTTTATTTTATTAAATTTATATTATGACTATTTTGACTTTTCTTGCATACTTAATGGTAAACATAATTATTAACTGAAATTATTATTATGTCCAGTTGACTGATGAAAACAATTTATAATAGATTTTGACTTTACCACCTTCCAGCTATTCATGGCTTAGAGCTTTTTTTATGTTATCAGGTTTTTACAATCTTTCATATAATATATCCACTGATTAAAAATAATGTATACTATAGTTTACATATTTCAATGATTACTCAAATGACAGACGTTAATTAATATGATTATTGGGCTAAAAAGTGTAGTAAATTAATAATGTTTAGAATTTAGAATACAAATATGCTATCACATACATAAATCATGGTAAAAATCTAACATTATTTGTATTATTCTATTTTGTTATTACTAAGTATATTCTTTGTGATATTGGATAGAATGCTGAAGCTAATAACTTTTATAGGTGCCATCACTTACCGGGAAGGAAGATGATGAGATGGAGGGTGACCAACTCATGTTCGACCTGGACCAAGGGTTTGCGCAGGGTTTTACCCAGGAACAAGTTGATGGTAAGACAATCCTTGATATTATTCATTTACTTTTCATACAACTAGGAATAGCAAAATATAAATTACTACTTATTGAAAATGGTAACTATGCCTCAAATATAACCAACACTGAACAGTTATAGTCATGATGTCAGTCAATTGTACTCTTTGTTGTCCTTCAGAATATTATTATGCTTTACATAAAAATATGATGTGTTTAGATGAGATATGATCATGATTTGATTAATTATATTGAAACAAAATACACATACTGATCTTTGCACAAAAAATAAAATACTATGTACATGTAACGCATAAATCAAATGAAATCATTTAATTACGAATACTCAATTATTTATAGAATCTTCTTATATTGAGTTTTCTCTATATTGCAAAACTTAAAAGATATATTAAATGAAAAATCTTACAATCTCACTTCAGACATGAACCAGCAACTGTCGCAAACGCGTTCCCAACGTGTCCGCGCTGCTATGTTTCCTGAAACCCTCGAAGAAGGCATTGAGATCCCTTCTACTCAGCTGGACCCTGCCCAACCCACTGCTGTTCAACGACTTTCTGAACCATCGCAGATGCTGAAGCATGCTGTTGTTAACCTGATCAATTACCAAGATGATGCTGATTTGGCTACTCGGTAAGAATTAAGCCTTTTATGTAAAAACTTTTATTGTGTTGGTGTTATGGAAAGTCTAAAATTGTATTACTATTAATTTTTTACTTCTTTTTCACAGGGCTATACCAGAGTTGATCAAGTTGTTGAATGATGAAGATCAAGTGGTTGTATCTCAAGCTGCCATGATGGTCCACCAGCTCTCGAAGAAGGAAGCATCGCGCCATGCCATCATGAATTCGCCACAAATGGTGGCGGCTTTAGTTCGCGCCATATCGAATAGCAACGACCTGGAGACAACCAAGGGAGCCGTTGGAACCTTGCATAACTTGTCTCACCATCGTCAAGGTCTATTAGCTATCTTCAAGAGTGGTGGAATACCAGCATTGGTCAAGTTACTCAGCTCGCCAGTGGAATCTGTCCTCTTCTACGCCATCACTACCCTTCATAACCTACTATTGCACCAAGATGGGTCCAAAATGGCTGTACGACTGGCTGGGGGTCTCCAAAAAATGGTGGCTTTGCTGCAAAGGAATAATGTAAAGTTCCTTGCAATTGTGACTGATTGTCTCCAGATTTTGGCATATGGAAATCAAGAGTCAAAGCTTATTATCCTTGCTTCTCAAGGGCCGATCGAGTTGGTACGAATTATGCGTTCTTACGACTACGAAAAGTTGCTGTGGACCACCTCAAGAGTTTTGAAGGTAATCTAAGTATATTGAGTTATAATGAATAAAACACAAGTGTAGTAAAATTTGTTTCAAATATGTAGAAATTGGTGTTCATATTAAAGTAAATAAATACTTACATCCCAATCGTAAAAAATCTTAATACATGTCAGAATGAGAAGTAAATTTTATGTTGTAACCTAAGAAACCATATAAAAATGATCAAGTTTTATATATATTTATTAAAAAATCAAAAGTTGAGTTTCAATAAATATATGTATATTTATATGTCATGTTTTCATAAATACTCCATCAATTTTGATGTACTTTTTTTTATTAAATCAAAACCATTATCTACTTTTTCTACAATAATTTTGTAGCGATTGAAGTTTGTGAAATAATATGTCAGTTCTTAATTTTTGATATATTTCTCATTTTGTTCTAGGTACTTTCGGTGTGCTCAAGCAACAAGCCTGCAATTGTTGAGGCTGGGGGTATGCAAGCTCTGGCAATGCACCTCGGTAATGCGAGCGGCCGTCTTGTCCAGAACTGTCTCTGGACATTGAGAAATCTTTCTGATGCTGCCACTAAGGTAATTACAAGTCTCTTAACATAAGCATAACTTGATATCACAATAAAATTTGTACATTAGCTATTACATCACGGAGAGCTTATGTGGAAGGGATAAGAAACAATAATATTTAGATTCATATAATAAATTGGCTAGATTATGCTTATATATGATATCCAGAGGCTTCTTATATACATGTCTTGTTAACTGTTAAGCGGGGAGTTCCCGTTCAAATTATGCAACATGCACCGGACGCATATTGTTTCGCTAGGACATGTCAATACGTCACACCCGGAGACCGTCATTACATATTTCTATATTTTTATTTTTACATAAAATAAATAAAAAACTATTAAATATATATAATTTATTAATATATTTGAAGTACAAAGGAATCACAAAACAAGTAAAAGCATGAAAACAAAATAGAATTACAGAATAGGTACATATAAAAATTCAAAACTTAATTTCTGTGTGATATGTTTTTTAAAACAATTATTAATACATAATGCTACACTACAATTCGGACGACGACGAAAATATAGGCTCCGTCCGTTCCAGGGCGCAAATAAATTTTCGAGGATGTATTCATATGTCCTACCCGTACCCGATATTGTTTACACCTGACGCATTTATGCGTCTTGCTCGGTTAACAGGTTAACTCTCTTTCATGTTTCTTTTCATGCATTACGATATCTTAACTGACTACAAAATAGAACTACAATAAGTCTGGAACTGAGATATGTAATTTTGACCTAAATAACTAAAACTTTTTAAGAGAAAATTTATGTCCTTATAATATAATTGCATTGTATTTACAGGTTGAGGGCCTAGAAGGTCTCTTACAAAGCTTGGTACAAGTCCTTGCATCCACTGATGTGAACATCGTCACCTGTGCTGCTGGAATCCTCTCTAACTTGACATGCAATAATCAACGTAATAAGGTATATTAAATTATTTTATACCCAATAATATGGTATAAAATACTGTATACTGCGTTGAACCCCAAATAATGGGATAAAGGCAAGGCAATGATGATGATGATGATGAATATCATCCATGAGTAGTATATAGTCAGTCAGCAGGCTTGTAAGAGGATATTATTTCAGTATTCCATTCCTTAGTTGGATCTTACATATTCTGGGATACACGACATTTCAAGTTGTGTTCTTACTTTGTCACCATGTGTATAATACTATACTAATATGAAATAGGTTTTTCTTTTTTATGAACAATTGGGAGCATCTTGTCTCATTGGATTATACCTGTACATTGAACCCAAATCATGATTTGGAATCTACCTGACATGTTGAAATATAGATTTTCAACTGTTACTAAACCTATGTATCCAAGAGAATGCGGTAGACTCCTCGCACACGTTATTTAGATTCAAATATACCCAATTAAATGTGAGCATGTCATGTGTTGAATTTTTTTATGAAGGTGATTTATCTAAGGTCTCCAATTGGCACAATCAAGTAGCTGAAGTATATAGACTACAATTATTTAATATTTAACACAATATATACTTTCGGTTCGGCAACGTCCTTAAAAATAGATGTTACAACATACATTTTATATAGGTGACAGTGTGCCAAGCTGGCGGTGTGGACGCGCTGGTTCGCACTGTGGTGTCTGCTGGGGACCGCGAGGAAATCACAGAGCCTGCTGTTTGCGCACTGCGGCACCTCACCTCGCGCCATCTGGAGAGCGAGATGGCTCAGAATGCCGTACGTCTGCATTATGGATTGCCGGTAAGTGGAACTGTTTTAACGCCCGGTATTACAAACCCAATTAATTATGCATGTAAAGCAGCGCATTTGGGTTCCACTTTTTGTTCTTGTCCGTTAAAAGTCAAATTTAGTAACAACTAACAAAATTTTGCTTTATTTCTTTTGAGTGTGAGTTGTCGTTTATTTTTAGTGCAGTGTAAAATGAATCTCTTGTAGTTCTGATATTATATATCTATAGTGTGCTCAAACATCATATGGCGTGCGTAGATGGTAGAATGCATAAACAATTGCGTTTTCAATGTGCCTTTAGCATCAGACAACACTGATGAAATTACTAAGAAAAATATTATATTGTTTACTGAAATTGATTATTTAACATAGTTTTATATATTTTAGATTCTCCAAAGAACATATGTTATCAAGTAATTAAATATTGTATATTGTTTATGATTTTAGTATATCAGCATAAATCTTATATAAATATATAATTATATAAATCTTATATAAATATATACAATATGGATGTAATCCGAATTAAAATTAAAATAAATAATTAATAATTAATTTTGACATGTCTTCTATAAAACGTTTTTCCCTAAAATTTCCCTGAAATTTCGAAATATTCTGATCGAATATTCGGTATTTATTTATCAATAAAGTGATTAAAATGGTAGATGTTAAAAGTAAACTTTGTTAATATTTTGTGTGTATTAATTGATTTCCTGCCCCTACTGTTAGGAGCAGGAAAACGGTCCTTAGTTTGAAATAAATAAAATGTAATATTATTATGTATTAAATTTAATTATTGTAATGATAGCTCAATTATATACAATTGGATTACAGTAATTTAAAAATAGCCTCTAATAAAATTTGCAGGTGATAGTGAAACTGCTGCAACCACCTTCTCGCTGGCCACTGGTGAAGGCTGTTGTCGGATTGGTTCGCAATCTGGCACTGTGCTCGGCCAACTACGGGCCACTCCGCGAACATGGCGCCGTTCACCATCTTGTTCGTCTTCTGATGCGTGCATTCAACGATACTCAAAGAGTAAGTATTTTAAAATATCACACTTTTTAATTGCTTTTCCTATTCTATGCCGTCAGCCTTATGGGTATCATAATCAGATTTGTTAATATTTTAGGGGATATATTGTCCATCGATGTAAATCACTTTTATTGTACATTTTGGGCAGACATTATTTGGAACACAATCAAATTAGTATCTAAGAATTTGTTGACGTGGTATTTAAGTCTGTGCTTGTACATCATACATTCTACTGATTTCCGCCTTAATAGTTGGGATCTAGAGGTACTATTAAGGTCTAGGAACAGGTGCATAATTCCATTATCATCAATAAAAAAATCACTTACCATCAAGTGAGCCGCAAGTCCGTTTGTTCTCTGTTCCATATAAAATGTAGCAAGTGTAAAAAATAAATTGGAATATCTACAAAATGTCGGCCGCTTGTGAAATGATTGACCTTTAACCGGGGAATTAGGAGGTTTGTGAAAGTAATTTACCCTTTACAGCAGCGGTCGTCGGTTTCGGGCGGAGGCGGAGGAGTGGGCGGCGCGGGCGGCGCGTACGCAGACGGCGTCCGCATGGAGGAGATCGTCGAGGGCGCGGTGGGCGCCTTACATATACTCGCCAGGGACTCGCTCAACAAGCAACTCATTCGCCAACAGAACGTCATACCGATATTTGTGCAGCTGCTCTTCAATGAAATCGAAAATATACAGGTACTAGCTGACCCTTGTAACTTCGTCTACTTCATCTGCATAACACTTACTTGATATTTATTTATTATTATCTTTTAGCCTATTTCTTATATATAAGTTATTTTACTATGAAATTTCCCACCCCTGATATTTTAGTCGTTCATAGGCTACGGCAACTGTATACTATCAGATAGACCGCATGCTTGTTTGCCACCATCGTTGTATATAAAAAGTGGGTAGAGATTGTTATTGTGTGAAATATTTACAGTAGTCTGTCTGAGTGACCATATTATTTTGCATTTTGCCAATATATAATATTTCTGTATCTAGTAATTAATATTCTAACATTTTAGCGTGTTGCTGCTGGGGTGCTTTGTGAGCTGGCCGTCGACAAAGAAGGCGCCGAGATGATAGAGGCAGAAGGCGCTACCGCCCCGCTGACTGAGCTTCTTCACTCCCGCAACGAAGGTATAGTTGATATTCATAAGATAATGTTTTAGTGTACCAAAAATTATTTATTAAGACCATCCCACCCTCTGCATTTAGCTGGTGAGTCTATAACAGCCAGCTACAATGAATGGCATTATAATAGTTGAAAAGCGCAAAGGAGAATTGGATTTAAAATGACTAAGGTATACCTCGAAGCAGCATTGGCAGTGTCATGGGTTCGCTTTAGCATTCTACAAGTATTCTGAAAACACCCTTAATATATATAAACAAACATAAAAAAAAACAGTTATTAATCAGAAAAATAGTTACATTTGACAAGTCTGGAATCTCATTATACAAATATTAAGCCTCCGTATCAAGCTTTTGCCACCGAATTGTTATAGTTTGAAACATCAACAAACTGGACAATTTGGTGTCGGAAGTCAGTAAGTCAACATTCTGATCATCTGATAGTTATATTTTAAATAATTTTTATTAGGAGTCGCTACTTATGCTGCTGCGGTTCTGTTCCGCTTGTCTGAGGACAAACCTCACGACTACAAGAAGAGACTCTCTATGGAATTGACGAACTCCTTGTTCCGCGAAGATCCACAAATGTGGCCAACTGATCTAGCCATGCAACCCGAGTTACAGGTATGTCATGCTATTTATTGTTACAATATTAATTGTGTTTGTTGATATATTTACTGTTAGTTTTGAATAAAAAGAATATATTAAATTTGTTAATTATCTGAGATATATGTTTGCTAACAAATAAACTGACAGTGAATATTTAATATTTTATTTATTTAACATGAGTATAACTTATAGATATTCAGTTGAATAGATAACTCATGTTTGATAATTGAGTAACATATTTAAAAAATCTCTTATTTATCTTAACTTGCTTGTTTACTTCAGCTACAGGACAACATGACATTTAGTAACTTAACTGTATCTAGACTTTATTAGCCTTAAATTATCAAATTGCGAATTTACTGTAGGGATAATATCTGAAACCAATGCATAATGTTGAACGTAGATGGCAATTTTCAATAGATATGTATTGAGGTCGCCGATCATCAGTCATTCTTTGTTGCATGATGGTTTTTTTTACCACAGTGATAGCAATGAAATAAGCCATCTGATAGTAAACGCTTACCGTTGCTTATGGACACCTGAAACACCAGGGGTATCAAGTGCGCATTTCCGCAATTTCAGAAATTTTAATCTTGATAAAGGCTGTAGTTTTTAGAGAAAACCTCGGCCGGTAGATCAATCCACAATCTTGTGAAATGAACTGATTATCAAAGTCAAATAACTGATAGCCGTAAATATAGTATTTCGAATTCATAAACAAGAGATTGATAAATTAGTAACGTCTAGAAAATTACCTTTTGGATACTCTCCATCTGCATTATCTATTCAACTTGTCTACGTTTGGTATTTACACGCTTTTCTATGACATTTTATCACATTACTATATAGTATATACTCAGGTGTAAGAGAAACGCTTTCGAGAACTGAAACCGGAACAATAAACGACTTTTAGTCTTTGCGTCGGATCAGAATTTGTTTCTGATATACATTTAACTGTATAAAATAATATAATATACACATTTTTTTTATAAAATTATTTAAGTGACAGTGAAATAGTAAGCCTTATAAATAATAGAACATTAAATACTACTAAAAAAACTATATTCCAATAGACAAACTGATAAATTTTGAAGTTAATTTATCAGGTCTTTCTTTCAGTTTTCGAAAATACTTCCTTTACATTCTGTTTAAGTGCACATAATATCACATTAAATTATCACGGTGTTAAACACACGGCAATAAGGGTTATACTCGTGTTATTAATAAATTATGAACTTAATATTTCTCACACAATTATTTAAATGGGTTAAAAAATTGAGTATCAATTTCCACTCCATATATTTATTTTCAAACGTTGCTTCCTTCCATTTAACCTGTTTAGTTTTAGACCTATATCACTCCTGTTTCGTTTGATTATGATCCGATACCCTTCGTTAGGACATGCTCGGGCCGGAACAGGGCTACGAGGGGCTGTATGGCACCCGTCCATCATTTCACCAGCAAGGTAAGATGCAAGTGGTGTGCACAAGTTTGGTTCACTAACACTGAATATGAACTGTGTATGTAACGTACATTTATTGTTTATGTATGTAACATACATTGTAATGTTAATGTGTAGTTTACAAGATATTACAACAGCTAACCTAAGAATAGTATTGTTACAATTATTGTTAAAAAAGAATAACTATGCAACCATGTGTGAAAGAATCTCATTGTTTGTATAAATTCATAGCATAAAAAAATATTCCTTGCAAAAGTGATCAATTTCAATCGTAATAATAGCATTACATTTACACAGGTTTAAAAAGTATCGATACTTAAAATGGAATAAGCAAAATTAGTTCAGTATCGAGAACAAATGACTGGTAGGTATAGTTCTGGATAGAATTTTATTTTTGTATATTATAACACACTAAAATAAAATACGATCTAATAAAGGTACTCTTCTTTTTAAAAGTATATTGTAAACATCTATATTATTTTGATTGACTATTTTTATCATATTATCGAGATTAAAAGGCTTTTGTAATATCTTGATTATACTTGAGAGATATTTCGACTATTCTATTTTAACAAAAGTTTAATAAGAAATTCCACTTCATGCGTTGTACGAATGGTACGAATGACTTCTGGACGTTTGCTGTGAAATAACTGTATTGAATGAGATTTTTACAGTCAAAATGAATTTTTATCTGGAGTTGTATTATATCTAACTTAACTATAAATTCGTAACTATTTCAGTGATCGGCTATCTTATAACGCATGCAGTTTACTTGTACAATATATTTATGTTGCCTCGAAATATATCTTAATATACACATAATATTTAAGAGCACCGTATGTTCCTATCATATAAGACTTGAAGTTATCTTTATAAATATATTTTCTCTGTCCTTTTCACGCAGCTTAATCCGGGCCCTATTTATCACTAAACTCAGGTGATGGGAATATTATTTCTATGTTTGTGTTGTGTTTTAATTTATATCATGTTTTATATGGTTTATTTATTTTATTGTAACGTATCCATACGTTTTATTATAAATACTGTTTTAATGCGTTCAGCATGTTTATTTATTTACCCATTCTTTCAGTTTATTGTTATTTTTTAGCTATTATAATAATTAATATTTTAACTTATAAGTCATTCATCGCCATAATTAATAATATAAGTATAAAGTATATCTACAATAATTTAATATAACCCAAGAAATGTTTCTGAATTGGCCCCACAAATAGCATGTTACTAATTTTATTCCCCGATTTTTTTCTATATTATTATAATTTCATAACTACAAAAGAATTGATACACATTCATCATGAAGCTTTATAAAATGTCATATGGCAAATTTATAATACATTGTTGTTAGCTTAGCCAAAACATACCGATAGCTTGGAAATGTTGCCTCACTATATATTGAGCAGCTGCTTTTATTGCTGTGTAATTAATTATTAATTGAATATAAAGTGTTCAACTAATGATTAGTCTAGAAATAATATCAATAATAAGAAAATAATCTCAAATCGTGTTAAGATCATAAGTAGATCTTTTGAAATATTCTTAGATAGGCATTCTGACTTTAATCAGCTGGTAAGTTTCTTCGAAATCCATTCTTACATTTAAGCAGTATAGTGATTAAAAAACCTTATTAGTAACGTAGGTATGTACAGCTTTCTCGCATTTAATAGATTTGTTAAAGGTGTTTCCCATCACCAGAAAGTTCTTCAGGAACTTATATTATTATAAAGTTAGCAAAATAAAACTCCATTGGTTATATAATGTGTCTACTGTTTATACTCTACATTCTTTATTAATATATTGAAGATATTGGAAAATTTAAATCGCCAAGTGAGCTAAGGTGGATCGAAATTCGATTATTAACCAATCGTCGTATCGTAACTCCTAAACTGATGGATCAATATCAATTCCATTTTTGTTTATAGAAATTTGAATGTCTTCGAAGACTCTTTATAGTATATATAATATAAAATAAGACTATACTATTTAGTACATTTTTTTGTAATGTACTAAATAGTATTGTATAGTCTCGAATATACTTTGAAATATAAACTGTTTATTATTAATACTATAATTAAGTTAACATTTACAGGGTACGATCAAATACCGATAGATTCGATGCAGGGTCTGGAAATTGGCAGCGGTTTTGGCATGGAGATGGATATAGGCGAAACGGAAGGTGCTGGCGCGGCATCAGCTGACCTCGCCTTCCCGGAACCACCTCACGACAACAACAATGTAGCCGCCTGGTACGACACCGATCTGTGATCCTGTCAAGTTACCACATCGTATATGTTATTAGACTGCGTTTCACGAACAATTTGAAAATTGAACTTAAGTATCTTTACGTTAAGGTTGTGTTTTCAATGGGAACAAAACGCTTGTTGACATTTAAAATTGAACCTTCTTGTATAAGACGCTAAGTGCAATTTCTATTACAACATATTGATTTGTGAAGCTCCTTTTAATTTGTATTAATTTTAGGCCTACTTTTGTATTATTATGACTTCGTGTTTTGTCTGACGACAGTGTTATAGTGGAGATAGAATGAACCCAGTTAAAAAAATGCATGTTAAAGTATTTTCCTCAATAAGCATATTGGTTCACAATTAAATTAAAAGTTCTGATTTCCATACTATGCTAAGCTTGTCTTATCTAGTGAGGAGATATGTGGAATATTGTGTTGTGCCAAATTTATTCAATTATGAACTCAATGCTGTTGACATCAACATGCCACGGCAACCATAAAGAAGTTTAAATAGAACAAAATACCTGTGATACAAATAGAGCAGCTACTAGACAGCTCATTGAAAAAGGAACTCTACCATACTAAAATTACGGACTAACTGTGCCGCTCATTTAATTTTCCAATTGGTGCTAAGTTTGAGAAGATAAAGCACTTCTCATCATGAAAAAGTATATTGCGTGGAAGCGTACGCCCTGCATTGATTGTATCGTTCTTTTTATACGCATACGTATAAATTGCGTGTAATCGGAGAATAGGGTAAATTAACTTTTAAGATTTTTATAGGCTTTAATATTGTATTTCATAGTTGTCTATGTAATTGAAATTATTATACGCGCATTTAAAGTGTTTTGATTTATTTAATGATTATAGTATGGGTCGTGTGTACTATTTTGTTATTACAATAAATTTAATGTATGTTTTATTTAAATGACGAATAAGACTGGTCGAATGATAGGCACGTATTTAAAGATTGACTGCCATTTTAACAGAAGAATGATTTTTTTTATTGATTATATAATAAATATACGGTATTAAAAGTAAACAAATTTGGACTTAATAATTTATTTTTATCAGTTTATACTATTGTAATTACAATACATATGATGTTATAATTACTCAGGTTGAACTCCCAATTTTTCATTACACAATACAAAAACAATTTTTTTTAGCATGAGATGAAAGATCCGATTATTTAGTTTATTTCAGTACACACCCACAATTATGTAGAAGCCATATTTTGGTAATTCAATTGTACTTAAATAATACATTTTATCGTCAGTTTTTCACATATGATATTCAGACTTAGGAAATGCACTCCTGAATAAATACTAACCCACCCATAGCAGAATGTATTGTTTAGATAATGTAATCGTAACTTAGTCGAAAAAAACGCATATGCCGTTAAGAAACATTGTCAGTTTGATTGTTATTGACTCATTATCGAAAGAACTTCATACCATTTATATTATAAGATACATAATATAAATTGCGTTCAGCCTCAAGTGGCATCTGCGCTTTCTTTGACGAAGTATAGTAGTATAAGTACTTAGAAGTAATTATATAATGTTCTCTTAGGTCATCCTATAATTTTTCTATTACTCGGTTTAACACTGTTTTAATTATTCTTTAATAGTGAAGACAGTGATTAAATTGTTTTGTGTCCATTTCTGTATGGATAATAAAATTAATTTCAATAATGCATTTTGTATTATTTTTAATATCATCATCTGCTTCTTCCTTATCCCATTCATTGACTGTATCGTCGTCCTTATTTATGGTTTTGATATTATAATTCTAAAAAGTAACATAAATAAGAAAAGTATTTTGTTTGTGAATAGACTGTAAAAATAAATAATTATGAAATTATATATTTGTTAACACTATTTCGATCTTACAAGTGGCATCAAGTATCTATATAAAATATAAAAATTATTCTAAAACTACATACTCATGCTCTAAAGTCGACATTATTAGATGGTTTGTTGTGACTATGAACTGTTTTCCAGTGTTAGTGGCGGCGGTGTATATAGAAAAGGCAAAGTGGGTAGACATTGTCTGTTTATACTAATTGTTTACACCCACCGTCATCTTCAGTCAGTCCGTGATAAAGATGCTTGCGACAGCATTAAGATATCAGAGTAACGGTAAATATGCCCTATTATATACTATAATATATTTACTTTTAAAATAATTAATCTAACTTTACCCCAAAATAACGGTATACATATTTTAGTTCTTAATTGTACCTAAAGGTTTAATGTGTTGTTTTAGTTAGTTGTTTTGTAGATTTAGTTACGTCAGGGCGAGAGGGGATTGTTAGAAATGGTTGCATCATGCATGCAACTAGTTGCATATTTTCTGTGGCACGTGGACGTGGACGCGTGCGTAGCAGTAGTATTTTGGTGTAATTTGCACTCTGATAGAAATGTGCAGCTCATGTTTCCGATAAAGCTATAGTAAATCCGCTAAATAAATTCATTCTTCCCATTATACAAAATAAACTGATTGCAGTAATTCTTGCGCTTAAGATATATACGGCGCATTAGTATAAACTAAACGTGAGAGTCTTCTAGACATACTCTCGTAATGTACTTGACTGAATTTCGAATGATGTTAGATAATATCAAGCCTTTGTTAATGTTGTTTTTTAGGAGAAATCTATAAAGTTTCAGACGTATGTACCTATCTGAAGGACGCTGGGTACCTACAGGTTTAAAAATAGCAGACGACTCCGTAGTCAGTGTTTTTTCTCAAATTAGTAGGTGGATCAAGGGTCCTAAGGTCTTGAGATTCTCTCCAAATAACGATGCATATCAACTTTCGCATGTATAGACGAGCAAAAACCATTACACGTGTTATTGCAAAAATGTCACCGATATCTCGCCTGTGACATCGTCTCCTCTACATTTTAGTACCTACTTACTTTAGATTGCTTAGTTTTTATTTTTGAGGGTTGATAATGGAATGGTGCACCCGCCCGCGCCAACGGTCTACGCTGGCGGGGCACCAGTGGAGGATGATAAGATGAGCATGAGGTCAGGTCATTTAGCCCGTAGTGCAAATTCACCAGGAATTTAACACGATGGTTTAACAGGGGGAACCGCGTGGAGGTCGACCTGACATGGTACATTGCTAGCAATGGGGTTATCAATCCACATTACTAACAATCCCCTCCCCCCAGTTTACATCAGTTTATCACTCTTCTCATTAACAATGTTGCGAATGGGAGAGCACAACTGACCGCCAACCTGCGAGGTCGTCAGCTTCAAGCAGGGTTACACATTTGTCTACTGTAACAGCTGAAGACATACAACGGGTTGTGAACCACATTTTTTTTTTTTTATGGATGATAATGGAATGGTGGCCGAACCTAACGGTTTACGCTTCTATTTGAATGGTAGCCCATCTGACAACCTCACCACGAACTTACAAGTTGAAGGTTCACCTGTACATGATAAGTGAGTCCACAACTATAATACATGAAGGTTCACCTGATGATAAGTGGTAACCATAATACATGAACAGCACAACAGATATCACGTCTCATGTAACCCTCCCTCTGAAAACATCCCTCTGTACACTGTAGCTTCACTGCGTTATATTGCTCTTTAACTGAAATATATCTTCAAAGCAAACTGCTTTGGTGGTTATAATATAGTAGATGGTACAGAGGTACCCACTCAAATGACTACAAAATTATGTGGGTTTAGGTAAGACGTAAATTAATTATAATACTAAATATATTATATATTTTTTAAATACAGTAACAAACAAAATTATAGACAAAGTTGCCCTTATCTCTACCAGAGACCCTAATGAGTGTCCAAATTTAAAATATAACATTTATATTTAAGCAATTTTAGAGTATAAAAGTAAAATTTTATAATAAAATGCTTTTGAATCCAACCGTAGATTGACATATTGATAATATTTAGGCAATTTTAACAATAGATATAGGTTATTATAAAACCTACTGGGTTTTCACAAGGATATGGATAAATAGGGTTCAGATCAAGAATCAATTTACCATTCTATTCACATAAGTCTAAAATTAAATGTATTAAGTATATTTAAACTAATCCTTATTTCTATAGTCACTTTCATATTATGAATGTGAAAGTGTGTATGTATTTATAAGACTAAATAGTTATACTAATCTTAGCGTTTGACATGAGGATGGTATGTTGATGGACATAAGGTACCTGATATCTCCAAGTGGCCAAAAGTTCCGGGTAACAGTATTAATACCTGGAATATTCAAATTAAATCACAGTTTACTTACTAATTTGATCACTTTTGTTTACTTTTGAGTCACTAGTGTATTTTATTTTTCAGTTATTGGACCTGTTTTCCCTGTAATATGATTAACCAGCCAAACCAAGTCCTAACTATTCTTAGTAATATGTGTGGTTACTACGCTACATGCAGCCGAAGACAGCGCACTATCCGAACCCGCAAATTGTTAGCGCAGCTAGGTGGCACCGCAAGCCGCGACGTAACTTCCCCACCTTTGTCCCGACAGTTATTATGTGCAATTAGGACTTAGACCGAGGTGAGCACTAATCTTGCTTGTAAGTTCGTCGCGCTTCTATATTGAGAAAATAGTTGCTCCTTGTACTATGAGAGTGCTGAGACTAGATCGCGTTCCTCGTACTATGTACTCCTATATACTTAGGTATGACTGATTTCCAATATATTTTTAGCATTATAATTCTGCATTCACTGCTGTAACTTCGGTAAACTGCTTGTCATCATTGCTTTGGCTTTATCCCATTGTGGTCGACGCAGTACCTATATCATCTTCCACACCTATCCGCTGACATATACAGTATATAACATCTGAGTATACTCTTGTTTTATGCATATCATCCTTCACACATTCTATCCATCTTTTTTCTGTTCTTCCTCCTTTACTCGTATCCCCGTTCATGTCTGGTAAATAGCTTTTATTATAATGATTCTGACAACTGTAAAAAAAAACTTCGATCAATTCAATGAATATTATTATGAACTATTGACTGAGGCTGACTTTATAAAAATCTTCTTCGTCTACTTATTGCAGTCACTAGGTGCTTTATAAACGGTTTCGGTTCTAGAGTAAGATAAGGCAGTGAAGATACAGGAGAAGAGGCATGTGGCATCTTAGTCCTTCGGAATGGCAACGCATGAGTTGTGTCACTGATGTCACATGATAATGACCGAAGCGGTGTTTATAAGCTGTCAACTTATTTGCTATAAAAAAATTCAAATAAACTCGCTGAGGGCGTCATGTGAGTTTATTTTCATTATGATAATAAAATACCAAATATTATTATAATGGCATACAGGTACCTAAATGCCTAATAATTGTCATAATAATGCCGCGGTTATATCCTTTATCGAAGAGTTAGGTATATTCCTTTAAAAACTTAATGTGATAATGAAGTATGGACGAAGGTCCAGACCGATAATAATTACCTTCACACTGTAACAATTGCTTCATAATCAATTGTTCTTTTATCGAATCCGTTTGCTTGGTTAACATATTAAGAAATAGGTACCCTTTAATTAAAAGATAGGTAATTAGGAACCTACTTAATATTTACTTGGCGCAGGTCATGCTACTACTTATAATTCAACAGGGAGTTTCGAAATCACAGTCTATACCTGGCAATCATTGAGACATTTAGCTACCTACTCAAGTGTTGTGATTCAAGTAAGTACAGTCAGCTTTAATAAGTATCAGGTGACAATATGACGAAAATAAAATTTCAATTTATGATAATACTATCTATTTCAATAAAGATAACAATTATTGTAGGAAAATATATTGAAGTATATGTACCTGTCAGAATTTAGACTAAACATATAAAATAAGCGCAGGTCGTTACAAGTCTAACGGTGTTATTAAAATAAAGAAAGCAAAAACAATTTTAGTTTCATCTACTTTTACAACACATTGTAAAAAGAGTGGTGATCCAGTGAGTTTGTTGTATAGTGACTATCATTTGTTCTCGAATAGCAAATGCGATGGTTGTACATAGAAAATTACTAAGAAAGTATGTAAACAGATTCGCCAGTTTATAATAATTATCTACACCCACCGCCACCTCTAGTCGACCCGTGACTAGGATGCTTAACAAGTATCCTATGCTTATTTCAGCGTTAAAATATCGGAATTTCAAAATAAAAAAAGTAATTACGGTAAATATTCCGTCTTACAATATTTTTTCTGATGCTAGGTGCATACCAGGGAGTTATGGATATGAAATTTCGGACAGGAAAGGTTTTGGATATAGAAATGATTATTATACCGGATACGGATACGGATGCGGATGTGAAATTGTTTCGGATTATCCGTTAGTTTCGGTTACGGATATTAATAATTATAGATATTAGATAATTATTTTAAGGAATTTCAAAAGTAAATTACAAATAGCTAATATAATAAATAGTCTTAATTAGGCTCCGCCCCTATCCGATATTATCAGAAACTTTTATTTCAGATTCGGTTACGGTTACGAATATTTTTTATATCGGATATCCGATAAATTAGGTTACGGTTACGGAGGTCCCTAACATCCCTGATGCATACTTAAAATTAATTTTCATAATATAATATTTTCGTCAAACTTTGTCGTTATGATCTATTTAAATGAAGTTCACTGTACAATATGGTTTGGTCTTTTCCCATGCGACGTTTAGTAATAATTAACGTTAATACGGCTTGAATAATTCCTATTCTTTATAACAATAAGGAATAAGGTTCAAATTTGAATGGGAACTCATGACTGTTAGTAATTATTAAGGAGTGAACTGTTGTCGATAATTATTGTTCGTGAACTTAAATGTATGTGTAGACACAAAATTTCATAGGCTAAGTGAGTTGTGAATAGGAATTCCGAAAATTATTGTGTAGAAATATCATTCGTAGCTATATAACTTAATAATTCACATATTAGACAGCTTCGAGTTTCGAGTACTAATTACTGGCATAATTAGAGGTCTACGTGGAACTTAATAATGAAAGGTACCCAAAGCAATATATGGAGTAGATATATTGCGATTGAATTTTTGACTTTAGCTTTAGCTTAGCTTTGCAAATTTTGTTTATTTGTTATTTTTAGTTTAAATCAGTTTGGACAGTGAATTTACACGCTAGTTAAGCTTGACATCTTAGTTTTCCGGAATGGGAAGGCATGGTAGATACCCCGGGCCTTGCATAAAATCTGATGTGCGTAGCGCTATTCTTGACTGACAGTTATCATGTTTAGCTGTTACGGCATTCCAGTTACCTACACAAAAATGGAAGGAAAGAATTAATGAACAGTTTCTTAGAATACGTAATTCGTTATAATCTGACTGTCAGGCCTGCAGGACAGTAGATCTGAAGGTCCCTAAGTATTTTGAATAGCCTTAAATTTGCAAACAACGAGTAATTTTGCTTTTAAGAAAAGGAAATTACTTATTAATAGTATTTATTATTTGTCATAGGTACGTACAGGTATTTTATAAAATATAGAACATTAAACTTACAAAAAATCCTACTATTTTTTTAAGGTCGATATTTTGTTTGGATATTACACTTTATTGCAACAACATAGAAGGACAGGAACAAAATTAAAACATTAAAAATAAAGAGTTTAAAAATGAAAGATATAAATATGAAAAGGTGTTACAAAATAAATATATATCTGTGTATATTGCAGGCACTTCCGAAAAGAGTGCACGCTATGCCACTCTCGGTTTCATAAAAAATATAAGATTTTATCATTTTTATGGCGTATTTCATTTACGACTGTCATTATTGGTTGCATCGTGTCTGAGATCCCCTGTAGTGGCTGCCTTTACGACTGTTTAATAAACCTTTGTTTTAGGGCGGAAGATAATGTTTTATGGACAACACGGAAACAGCATCTGTCCGGTTAATTAATGGGTAAGTTGAGATAATATCTTTGAATTTTGTATGGAAATATTATGTAGGTATGTAGTTCGCAAACTCGGAAACAACTTTTTAAATGTAAGTATTTGTTAGTATCTATATAATTGTAAATACAAGTAGGAATGTTACATGTGTATATTACAATAAAATCTGTTATCATCTCCAATGTAATTAAGTATCTAGTAGGTACTTTGAAATAAAAATATCTAGTCCCGTTACAAAAATAAGTCGAAAAAATTGCAAGTCGGTCCTGCATATTAATGGTTCCGTATAATTGCCAATATTCTGTTTTTATCAAAATATGTCAATATTCAATTCGGGTGTTTTGTGCTAAACAATGTTATACAGAGTTAATCGTAAAAGGTACAGCAAGCTGAAATCTAGTCAGTGTTGGAACTAAACTTTTCTAAATAAGTAAATTGGAAAATGTATGAATATTTTTAAAGTTATGTACATGCTGTGCAATATAGGTACTGGATCCTTATTTTTTTATGTGGCCTTTGTATACATATAGACTTGTTTAGTGTTCTCTTCTGAGCCAATCTTTCTGTTTATATGTATATTAAGGGAACCCTAAAATTCGTACTACGTGCTTCTTATTTGGAAGTTTCTTAATTTCAACAAGGGGATCCTAAAGTATCGACCGAGTCTCACCTGCCAACTGTTACCGGATTAATGGCGGTGAGTTTTTACTACTTTTTAAAGCTCCCTTTTTACCTAAACTACGTACTATAGGTAGGCATAAGCATACACTAATTATATGTAATATTCTTTCCGTAGTAACTAATTATTTCACTCTTACATATATAGACAAAATTCTTAGGAAATTTGAATTTTACAAAATAACTGTAGAATTATAAAAAGCTTTGTCATATGTAAATGTATTATGACCAATATTTTAATAATGTACATTAAATATTTTATATTATACTAGCTGTTCCCACATATTTTTCTAAAATAAAAGATTTTTTTTAAATAAAAGTAGCCAAGTTACTCGTTATTACATCAGCTACCTGCCAAAAAAAGTCCCGTCAAAATCGGTCCATCCATTTCAGAGATTAGCCGGAACGAACAGACCGACAGACAAACAGACAAAAATTGTAAAAAATGTTATGTTGGTGTATGTACCGTATTTTATTTATATGTATAGATTTAATACATAGATAGGCCAGTGCCTACCTATGTATTTTTACCTTTTTCCGAATAAAACTAAATTATGAAAACAAATTAGGCATGGTGTATCACAAGTTAAGTTTAAATTTATCGATATATAAATAAAGATGCTGTAATTTTTATTTATATATCGACAAATTAAAATCCAGCTGCGTCCAGTTTAAAGGTTTTGACGTGGAAAACTGGGAGTAGGGTGAGAGAATCTGGGTACGACAGTCCGCAATTAGGGCGGGCGGACCTGTGTCCAGCGACGGCGCTGCTTGTGCTGGAATGTTAATTAAATTCCACGCTCCCGAAGACCGGAGAAACTTTACCTATTTCGCATTTGTGTTGTCTTTTTTCTTTGATTAGTTTCGCGAGTTCGACAAAGTTTTAAAACGTTACATTATTTTATTTCATTGCAGATTGTTTCTTTCTATTGGAAATATTTATATTGTAGTTTCTGAGCGATGTAATAAGTAGGTACATCATAGATTTTTAGCAAAGTTGACTGCATAGGTACTTTGTCATACCTGATTCAGCTTCCAAGCAGCTAACTCTAAGCTGTATTATGGGTGCAGGGTGAGGCAATGAAATCACAGGGTACGGAGGTTTTTATGTATATCTTCGACCGTTTTCCACTTACCATCGGATGGATCGCCAGCTTTGCCATTCCAGTTACATAACAAAACTAGGCAGTAATATAATATTATTATATTATATTATCCTAAGTCCCGCGAGAAGGGGTTGCAATGAACGATGTCGAACTAAATAGCTATTAAATTATTTAATGTTAAAACTTGTTCGTACATATAAAACCATTAATCTTTATAACTTCTATTATTACCTTACTTTTTCATTTTCTTAATTACCTTATATTTATGTACTTGGAGGTATATCTAATAAATATAAATATTTAATAGAATATCGTATTTTTAACAGTTCGGTAATTATGAGTTGTATATGATTATTTTATTATGGGTTTGTGTTTACTAGTATAATCACGATTGAAATAGCTTGTTTTTGTGAAACAATACCTACGTTAAATTAGAAAAATTGTAACCAAGATTTTCTCGGTTCACCGTCCTATTTTCCAACAGTACAGCCCAGTATACATTATTGCGCCTCGGGCACTCGAGCCGCAACCACTCTTCTTAAAATGAAGACGAATAGAACAGAGCCTGCAATGGACGGAAACTGCGCTAAATTAATATGTAGGTATTCTTTATCAATAAAAGAAATGATTTAAAATAGCAATTATATTCGACAAATTAAAATAAAAACACAATTTGGATTTTTTTATCTGTGATTCACTAAAATTCAGAATTACTTTTATGCGACAGGATTTTATCTATATAAGTACATATGTACTTACACAAGCAACATACACCCAGTACATCATGCTTCTTTCTATGACAATATTAGTTTCCAAATATGATAAAAAAATAAGTTAATTTGGTGCCCAAAAATATGTAAATTTTCCCAGATTTACTTTATCTAAATCATATGTATGGGTACCTACCTCAGTTTCATATAAATCTGCCGGCAAGCTACTTACTATGTAATTTATTTTGGTTGGAGACACGGACATATTTTGAAATAACTGGCATGACATTTAGTTCTCAATAATGTCATCAATAGATGTGTACCACGGGCTTCACAAGATATTGAAATCACTTTTATACTAATAGTAACTTTTATGCGATAATATAATATGGGCTTCTCCAGTGATTCGTTGTTCTGCTCGAACAGCAATTTAATGGTGATTATTTTAAAACGTTATTCTGCTGCCTATTTATTATGCCTTATCTTAGCACACATAAATTAAGAGAGCCGACAAGAGTTGGATGCTGTCGCCTTAAGGTACTCTACTTTTACTTCCTTCTCAAAATCGTAATAAACCAGTAGATATAGGTATACTTAGGAATACCTTAATTAATTTTATAGGTATTTATTTTATCGAATTAGATGTTATTTTGCGGAAGTCCTTTAGCGGAGTAATTTCACTATTCAATGGATCTATATTGTTTAAATACGCCACAATTAGCATGTGTGAGTCCACAAATATTCTTATAGTATTTAATTTAAGAACCTAACTTTAATAACAGTAAAAACAGCACATTACTGTTACAAAAAAAAAGAACAGAAAATAATGTAAATCGCGAGCTATAGAAATCTTTTTTTAATTTTAATTTTTTATTTTTCATTGGAGTTCTATTAGTGGTACTATTTTTAAATACAGTAAAAAAAGTAATTTAGGCACATTACTTATATTCTAAAATGTAATCAACTAAATTAGTAACACTGAGGTAACTGAGGTACTACTATAGTTTTTTCTATACTTACTAATATTATAAAGAGGGCAATAGATTTTATGTTTATTTGCATTGAATAGGCTTCGAAACTAGTGGACCAATTTCAGAAAATCTTTTACTATTAGAATGCTCCGTTATCCCCGATGAACATAGGCTATAAATCCGCGTACTCTGCAGAAACTATTGACAATAGAACGAAATCATTCTAGTTATTAAAATATTAAATCTCAAATTGATTACTATACATGTCGTCATTTAGAAGAAACATTACAAATTATCACTTTAAACAATAATTAAAAGAATGCTATAGACGAATAAGAATTTTTACTTCACTTGATATTAACGTTGGGCGCAACGTGCGTAGCCCACCTAACGTTTTTGTTTACATCTTTCCCCGTCCGTAGTTACTTAAAATTATCCGCTCTCTTGACTCATAACTGCATAGCACTCAATTCAAATTAGGCCGACTGCAATAAAGGATAATGAGATTTTTTTACGAACTGCGAACTGTTTTTTTTATTGGACTGCGAAAAAATCCCATTCCGCCCTCTTCGTACTGATTAGTTCATTTATTCGAGGGTGGATTTATTATGATTTCTTTCTCATTTGTAATGTTTGCTTATTTTGTTTTTTGGAATGTAGTTATGTTATTTGTATTATGTTAGCAATTGTTTAGTAATTAAATTTATAGATATTTATTAAATTTATTTTCGCGACTAATAATTGTTTGGGTAGTGGCATTGTGATCTAGCGAAGTTGTAGTAAATGTATTACTTGATGTATCCGTATTTGGGTTTATTGGATTCGTGACTGAGTAACTTGCCAGTTCTTCTAAATATAAAAGTAGAGATTGAACGGAAACGGCAGGGAAAAAAGTTTAACACAAAAATGGGACCAATGTCTCTTTCAATAAAAAGAGTTTTTTTAATCGGTTTATAAATTAGTTATGAAGTAAGGAAGTTCGGATTTATGAAGTAACAAATATTAAAAATAATACAGCCTAATAATAAGCCTAATTAATCTATATCTATATCTATTGATGGTAATCTTTAATGGAGTCGATTAAAAATGTCCTACATGAATAAATGCTCTTTGTTTTACTACGTTACATAGGCATAGCCATAGGCTGTGCTAACGAGTTGATTCTCTGATTAATATTATCATTTCTATAACTGGTTTATATAAATGTATTTTTGTTGTAATAAGTACGTATAATATAGTTATGTTCTAAGTTTTTTAATTATATACAATAAAAAGGAAGTCATTTCTGTATAGTTGTTAAGGTAGGGACGTACATAATTAAGAACATTTGAACAATTAGGATCGAGTAGTAGTATAAAGTAAGGGTTCTGTACGCTCGGTGTGAAGTTCGATTTGCACTTATTCTGGTTACATATTGCCGCATTGTCTACAACAAGTTGCTAAGCAACAGTTTGTTATTACCATTTCAAATTGTAATTGACTCAATATTTAAATTACAGTATTCCCCTCGTGTGTTACATGAAGCACGTTTGCTATATTCGACCGAGTGACTTATATATAACTTTAAAACTATTCTGTATGTTGAAATAGGATATGGTGTAATTGATATGATGCACCAAAGATAGATAGATAGATAAATTGTTTCTTTGTTTGTTATAAATTACAACTATACTTTCATAAATAATAATAATAATAATAATAATTTCAGGACAATTCACACAGCGCCATCTATACCCAAGTTAAGCTAGCTAAAGCTTGTGTTACGGGTACTAGATAACTGATACAAGTACATAGATAATTTTTTGTTTCGTAAATACATACATATTATACATAGAAAATACCCAGACCGATACAAACAATCATACTCATGAATACAAATGCTTGTGCCGTGCGAGGAATCGAACCCGCAACCATCGGACGTAAAGCGGTATGCTAGACCGCTAGACCACCGAGGTCGTCAACTATAGACTAATTTGAAATAAGATTAGCTGATTTGTATCAATTTTATACAATTTCGTTCAGCCGTATGAAAAAATCTTTTTACCTATTTATTTTTAACTAATAAATAAGCCCTTGATACACAGATGTACAGTCAGTCGAAGTTCATATAACTATATGCATATACCTACTCGTGTTTTACATTCACAAGTGAAAACATATTCAAATGGTTGATTTACAAAGAAAATGTAGACAAAAAGCATCGACTTTGTTTTATACTATTTATTATAATAATAAAGACCCAAGGCACACACAGGACTCTATGTAGTATCAAACTAAGCAGAGCTTGTGTTATGGATACTATAGGCAACAGATAGAAATATTATATTTGTAGAATATAATCAAACTCAACAAAAACGTAGTTCAAAGAACTAAAGTGCAAAAATAAAATAGGTTGTACTATTCCTTTAAACCAAAATACAATTTCAACACCTCCAATAACCTGAGAATTAGAATCTAACCCTTACCGAGGTTAGATCGACCCCAATTGTCGCGAGTATTTCCCCAAAGGGCCATTGTACCGGACAACGTTCGATTCCTGCGTCGCGCTACAATCATATACTTATAATTGGTACTACGAGATTTATTGCCTCTGTCCCGTAGAATTTACTTCGAAATGTTTTATCTAATCTTCCGACTCATTATTTCCTGATTGAGTGCTTTCCTTTTGTTCTGTTATTATTTGTTCATTAGATTACAGAGTCTCGGCACGACTATCGGAGTCTGTTTTTGCGTCGCTTGCAAACAATAATCATTTATAAAGGCACTCTAATAATATTAGCTTGGTTTTATTATTAAATATCGAATTTGTTATTATAAACATATATATACATGTTATAATGAGAGTATAGTAGACTCGTACATCGATTGTATTTAAAGGTATTGTGCATGTGTGTGAATACTAAAAAAATCCTCACTGTTATGTTAGAACATACAACAATTTTAAATTAAAGTTTTATACTCACTTAGCTTTTAAGTTGTTGTTTTTGTTGTATTAACAACTATTAATTAGAAATGACAAACAAGTTTATTAATCTATGTATAATAGTGTGTATACCAAGTACAGTAAAGATACACAGACCTAAACAAATATAGGTAGTATCGCAAAGTAAACGAGTTACTACAAAACTGCTTAACATTACAGAGCCATTGACAGTGAACCTTCTTAAATCACCTGTAAATTGAAAAATTTTAATTAAATTATTTTTAAGTAGGCATATATAGAAATTCCGAAACAAAATTTTAGAATTTCAAGACAAAATGGGTTATAGGTACTAACCCATTTTGTCTTGATACATAGTGCACTACGTATGTAGTACTGCGTTATGCGGAAATTCATGTAGTGTCACAAATTGGAAATTTGATATTCAATTTTTATCTTTTCATTAAGTACTTAATTGATCACGTGATCGCGTAGTTTGAAGATTTAATTTTTTTTCGCTTTACTTCTTTGGAAAAGGTGTTTAGTTTCATGAATATTGCTTGGCTTGCCCTTTACAAATATATATGACATACCTTCATGACCGTTATCCCAGATGTGGAAGTAAGAGGCATTGTCGAGTGATATTATGGTAAATACAACATTTCATATGGTCAAAATTCACTAGATATATTTTAGCGTGGTAGAGGCCGTCTGCGGCCGGTAGAGGAGGAGATTACCGTCGTCTCTCGGATTATATTTAGGTTTGATATTAGTGTTTTTCTTCACCAAAGAATCAGTAAGAAATATAAATAGACACACATATTATTTCGTCACAGCCAAACTCATGACCTCTTGGGGGTAATTCAGAGTAGTAAATAAGGCGTACATAGGTTACAGTAACCGTTTACCATCAGATGGGCCGTATGCTTGTTTGTCACCAACGTAGTATAAAAAAAAGTAGTAAATTATTAGGCCATGACGAACGCTTATATTATATTTATTCAAGTACAATGAAAAAATAAATACTTACATACAACACCGTTTATTATCTCCTTAAAATTACCGGAGCGTCCGGATTTAAGCAAGAATAAGCCGATAAAGAAAAGGCTGACCACGTCCACATCTGACGTGAGGGGCCAACTTAAGCAAGTTTTAAGTTATTCGTTAGTCCCGTGAACCGCTTTTGGAAACTTTGCTAAGACGCCTGCGGTCGCGTTCTCGGCATCAAAAATAATGTCCTATAAAGCAGGCGCCCTCAATTACGGCCCGCGGCTCGATTACTCGCGGGCCGCTTGAAAATTCCCGTTAATGTTATAGGTTATGTTAATAAATTAGACGTGGTTAAAGTTAAAAATAATGTGCATAGAAGTAAAGCTGGAATAGCTATACCAGGTGAAATAAATTCTCTGAAGCTATCTGCAGAATTAAATAATAATGGGATATTTACCACGAGTGCTGTTGATGAGTTACTGATTTTTGGCTAAGAATTTTGGTCACCGGCTTAATGTATTGATTTAGGTAAGATAGATTGAAACTAAAATAATACCGCATTAAAATAATGCCGCAAGACTATCGTAGAGAACTGTCTTATTTATGTTCTAATATGTTATATACATCTTACAATAAACAAAAACAAATACATTTCTAGCTAACTACGCACTACCATGTTATCTATTGATATATATTATTATTCAAGTGTATAAAAATTTTAATGTCTTGCGACCCTAATAAACCTTATTAATACCGTAATACTGTTTTGAAGAAATGTTCATTCACCCTGTAGGCTGTAGGGGTTGAATGCGCAGCGGCAGTAAATATAGTGAAATATGAAAGTAAAATATACATATTTGGTAAAAGCAACAAGGCTCACATACGATATGTCAATAGGAAATCTTACGAACAATATTTTCTTTATATAAAATTCAAATTATCTTTTACCAATAACGGCCAGATATAAATTTAAGTTCCAATTTTAATATCTTGCGACCCTAACAACCCTTATTAATACCGTAACACTGTTTTGAAGAAATATTCATTCACCCTGTAGGCCGTGTTGAGACTGTTTTAAATGGTGGAAGTGCTGTGGTCTGCGGTTAATTTTAAAAGGGTTGGATTTACCTTTTTATGAGTACTGTTATACTTTTTATATTACCATTATTCCAGTTATTTAATTAATATAGATATAAATTAAATTTTTGAATAAGAAGCATGATATCTTACGTATATCTATGGAATGGCTACTCACGAGTTATATCACGGGTGTCAAATGATAACATAATCAGTAAAGTAATCCGTAGTGCTGTTCATGTATATACGTAAGTATATAGGTATATAGGTGACGGTAACCGATTACCACCAGGTGAACCGTCAGTTTGTTTCCTCGTCTAATTATATAAAAAAATAAATGTATATTTTATAATATTATTTTTGTGATTGTGAATAAAATTCTTCATCTTTTCAAAAAACTCATGGAAACATGGAGGAATTTCAATATAAAAATATCTGGAAAGTAAAAAATATGCTATTTTTAGAATACTTTTTTTGCAATATCATATAAATTATATACATCAGATAATGTATATTGAAATTGTACAATCTGAATGTTCCGTTGACAATAACATTTCGAAGTTATTGTCAACATTTCGGTGAAAACACGTCAATCAGACGCAACTTGGAAGAGCGAAGGCAATTTGTATCCCCGCGTTACCCACCATTTTGAAAGGTGTTCCAACTTTATAATTGGTGTTGACGCTATTCCCAGTTATTAACGAGGTGAACAATGTCTGCGCGTGGCGCGAGCTACATACGCAACAAAAGTAAAGGGACACGTTGTATTACATTAGGAATTGCTTTATAACATTTTACAATTGTTGGGACAAAATGTTGCTCAGTTGTTATTGTTGTTGAGCTACTTTTTGTTATTTTTGGTAGGTGTTACACAGTTATAACAATCATAAACATAGATAATAGATAACGCAAGTAGAAATCTACTTCAATTTATATTAAAGCAAATTTATAACATTGTGGTATTATTGCTTTTGATGATTAATTATTTACTAGGTGTTTATTTATCACCTCTTTCTTCATTAATGTATTTAGTGCTATTTCTTATTAATTTTTAAATGTAGTTTTTCTGATATATCATATTCATCTGATATTTGTATTCAGAATGGATTTATCTCAAAAAAGTGTGTTTATATATGTAAATATAGGTATAGATAGCAGACTTTTATCTATGTAACTTTGTGCACTGTAGGTATACTGAATTGACATTGAAATGTTGTGTATTATTCTAATAATATATTCTTAATGTTGCTATTGAAATCGTTGCCGTTGCCAATTTCCGGGCGATTCAAATTGTCTGCTTCAACTTGTATTGAAACGTCGTCGACCCTTTTTGATATTGATAGATTGTTTACTATATACAGATTATTTTGAACGCTAATGTTAGACAGATACGACATTACAGAAAAGATTTTGTTTAAAATAACAAAATACTATGATAATGGTGAAATGAAGATGAAGACCAATATACCTAATAGACGTAGGTATACTTCAACAGAAAGATAACACAATTAAATATCCCCAATGAGGAGATTACAGACTTCAATATAGAAATTAATTGAAAAGCAATATCTTAAATGAAATTGTAATATCAGTCTGTAGTATTTATTTAATTTAAATTGTATTAAGCTGCCATTACGAAACGATATTTATACATTCAACTGACGACCCGTCCCGGTTTCACACGGATGTATTACAAATCTTTGAATTTCTTGGCTCGTTCTATACTACAATATATACATATAAACCTTCCTCTTGAATCACTATATCTATTGCTGAAAATTGCATAAAAATGTGTTGCGTAATTTAAAAGATATAAGCGAACATACAGTGGCGGCGATTTTGTTTTATACTATGCAAAGAAGAATTAGCACACTATGTGTAATTACTGCTATACCTACTTGTCTTCTTAAATGCCGAATTTATATATATAGTTTAATACTAGCTATTATCCACTACTTAATAAATGTATTTTAGTTAAGTATTTATATGTATTTAAGCTTACTGGTAGATACCTAAACCACAAGGTTTGCTTATCTTTTGAATCGATGGCGCTGTATGAATAAGCTTATTTTTAGTTGACTAAATTCCTATACTACAATAGAAGCACGTGTAACAATTCCCACGAAATTTTTATCAACATTTGTCTTACTTGGATTTCAGTTTTCACGTGTTTCAAATATTCGGATAAAACAGCAACTTGACTGCTGTAATAGTAACTTTTATACATTAATTATGGCAGCCCTAATTAACTTTTCGTAGTCGACGTGGAGTGGGGAAGTCGTGACCGCGCTGCTACATTTCATATTAAGAGTAAATCCTTTTAAATGCATAAATAATTCAGCCGACAGTGGATTAAAGATGTCTTTATTTACAGTGTAGTGTAACAGATAAAGTCAAAATGTCAGTCTACATACAAAAAGATAGTGTCAGTATACAATAAATTAGGAGTACATAAATGTCAAGAAGGCATTTAAAGTAAAATTGCAAATATTATTTGTTCAAAAAGTTAAGAAATATTAGTATTTTAATATTGCATAGTAAAATATATTATAAAACTTTCAAGTACATATTTAGTAAATACTTAGATATTTCTACAGTTTATTTTACCAAGGTTATATATTTTTAATATGTTATAATCAACTCTATATAATTTATAACCAAGTGTTGTAGTTTATAGCTTGTTATAAATTTAAATGCTCAATAATGGCTTATGGGATATAATAAGCATCTAAAAACTTATTTACTAAAAAGGATTGAATTATTATGTCCTTCATACAGGCCATTTTAATGACCTAGTAAGGACACCAGTGGCATCGAGCTTTACATAAGGTGAAGAATAATCTACACCTATAATTGTATTTAAATTTGTACACCTAGACCATCTTAATTAAATTAACAAAGTATCTATATATTGTAGAGATTTAATTTTTTAATAAAATACATCTTAAATTAACGTAAAATAGGTCTTCTATAGGCCAATTTATTAAACATTTTTTTTACTTTAGATATAAAATATTTGCTACTCGTAATATTATTTAAGAAAACAAATATTACGTATCGGTGTAATAGACGTCCATAATTCATATGAGACGTGGATGCGACCCTCGTCTTTTGGCTGCATCTAGTAATCCTCTTAATAGATTCCAACGGACCGAACGGCTCCAAACTGATGTACGATCTCAGTTCTGTATGAACTAGGTATTGCAAATATTTGTAGAACTCATGTGAATGTTATGATTGTGAGATCGCGAGTCTACTTTGTCTATTAGGTTCTACTATTGAACCATATGCAAATTCATGTTCCTCAGTATTTGCAAATTGCATTACGAAACTATCGTATCTATATTAATCAGTATATATATATATATTATGTAAAGTATGGGAATCGACACTTCATAAAGAAGGATAGCGCAAAGGTAGAGACAATAGATCTGACAAAAAAAATGTGTAATTAATAAAATTCTGATACTGTGCGGCGGATTTAATTCTACATCTTCTTTGCGATGTTATATAGAACATTTATATATTGAACATTTATATATATAGTTTATTAATTACACATTTACATTTTTACTTTAAAAATGGTAAAATATACCATATGACAATATTAAACTATATTGTCAATTTTGTACTGCTCGAAAATTAGTCTTATTTATAGCTATTACCAATTTACCAACTCGGATTTACTGCGAAACGGATTAAGAATCGTGACCTTTCCCAGGGTAGGAGCAGGCCTTATAAATATCTGTTATTTCGGTACGTTTCATTCTACTGGGACGGGGATATTTGTATTAAAATTACATTATAATTGGAAACAACGACGGAATATTTGAAATAATTCAACTGGAATAAGTTCCAGGTCTGTAACGATAAGACTACCTTTATGTCTAATTGTTATTTTTGTACCATTATATTTATTACATTAATATTCTTATAATTTCCGTTGAATTTATTAAGAACTAATTTACATCCCATAATAGATACAATGAATATGCTATTGACTATTATCATGGTATTATGATAGTTCTGAACAACAAAGATAAGGTCACAACAATAGTCGATTAGAGGCTCAATGATATTTTCAACTATATACTTTTTATTAACATACAAATTTCATATATAGGGTCAATGTTAATACTGTGCACCTTTATGTCATCTATGTTAACAAAATCTAACAACATATACCCCTTACGAGAAAGCGACACATATGTTATAATATAGATTATTTAAAATGCATTTGCCTACTGCACTGCAAATCCACTTAACTAAGCTTAACTTCTACAAATTGTAGACTAAAAAAGATCAGAGAACAAAAATGTCAAATGGATTTTATTTTCGGCCGACCATCCCATGGGGCGATACATAATTAATTTACATTCTAAAGAATATATTTTAAAGGGCAATATTTAATATGACCCGTGAAAGGGTTGAAGAATGTCACTTGTCAGGAAATAAAATCGGGGAAAAGGGAAAACGTGTTAAGTTCCTCAATTAAGTATTAAAATCTTTGAATTCATTTAAAAACAATTATAAACATGCTTTCACTAAAAGCTTACAATTTAATGATTAATTATATATTTAGACGCTAGTTCCCTAACGGGGTAAATGGCGGCACATGAGAGCTACTAACCTTGCATTTATTTATATAACGTTTACAGAAATAAATAAACGATGACAAAGGGGAAGGGCAGGGAGGGGAGGATAAACTTATAATAATATCAATTTTGACTTAATGGCTGTGTTTTATTTAACGAAATAAAACATAATTA